TCAGGTGCTGAGAAAACGTTGATGAAAAGATGATAATGTCATCAAGGTAGCAGAGACACGTCTCCCGTTTCAGACCACGCAGGACGGTGTTGATCATGCGTTCAAATGTCGCGGGCACATTGCAGAGCCTGAAAGGCATCACGCTAAATTCGTATAGGCCATCGGGGGTTGCAAATGCCGTTTTTTCTTTGTCGTCGTCGTGCATGAAAATTTGCCAATACCCCAAAAGCAAATCAAGGCTTGAAAAGTATTCGGCACCTTGCAGTGAATCAAGGGCGTTGTCGATGCGTGGCATGGGGTATACTCCTTGCGTGTGATGTTGTTAAGTGCCCGGTAATCAACGCAAAAGCGCACGGAGCCATCTTTTTTTCGTACCAAAACAAGAGGGGATGACCAAGGGCTAGTTTATGGACGAATTATTTCTCGTTGGAGCATGTCAGCGACGTTTTCCTCAATGATTTTTCGCTCAGCTAGAGACACGCGGTACGGGCGGCGATGTACAATAGATGTTCCCTCCGTCTGAATGCGATGCGCTGCAGTGGTAGTTCGGCCCAACGTTGAAGAGCAGGTGTCGAAAGAATCGGCGTGTTTCGTTAATAACGCAAGCAACTGCTGCGCCTGCATAGCTGTTAAGTCATCACTGATAAGAGCTGTGAAGGGAGAGGATGAGGCAGGCTTACTCATGAAAGGGTCGTTGGTAGAGGCAGGTTTAAGTGGCGTGACGCTGACAGGCTCAGCATCCACAACACAAGCTACTGCAGTGCCCTCTGGCAGGATAACTTTTTCCGGTGTTACATTCGTAGCAATGACGAGTGCGGAGCCATGGTAAAAGCGTACGACACCTGTCGCAAGGGCTATGCCTTTAGCGACGCAAGTCAACGAAGGGGACACCAAAACGTCACCGTGGTCGACGTCCTTAGAGGTCAACGTCACAATTCGCTCTTGGTGTGGCGGTAGTTTCAGATCTTCGCGAACTAACAGGCGTAGTGGCTTGTAGACGCCTTCGTCGAACATGGAGTTCGTATTAGTTAAGTGCAGAATCCGTTACCACAACATTAAGCGGCTGAAGAAGAAGATAAAAAGTCCCACCCTAGAATTAGCTGGTGAGTGCTCGGGGTAACCACAGTGAACTGGATGTAATGCAGAATGTCATCGATAAAAACACGGGTCGTACAAAGACAAAAAGGGCGGATAGTGTTCCCTGGGCTTCGACTGGAGTGGGCCTATTATAAGGTGTCATTACTTTTTTTAGTAGTTTGCGCAAATCATATCTAATGACAGAAACTGTAGCACCGGTTTCCACCAAAACGTCCACGAGAACTCCTTCCATCATAACAGAAACAATGTTGAACGAGCGTGCTGGAGGAATATCAGTCCTACTGTTATATGCAGTTTCTCCTCCGAAAACTGCATCATTTAGTTTTCCGACCGGTTGTTAGTTGTAAACGAGGCTGGCCAAAGAGGAGAGGAGGAGCGACGAAAGGGCAAAGGTGATCGGCGTCGGCTTGAACGGTAAGTGTTCCGCGTCTTCAGTCGATGCGGGCGGAGATGGAGACAGCTGCTGTCCAGGGGAATAATGCCAGGCGTGAGAATCCCCACTGGAAAAGTTCCCGTTTCGTGCATGTCATACCCGCGGCGCTCATCCTACTGGCGCTTGCAGCAGAAGCGCCATATATGGCCACGATAACCACGGTAAAACATGTTGGGCGAGACAGGCGCCAAGGCAGGTAGTAGAGGGCGTTCGGCGCACCGGGAGATAGAGCACTCTAGTGGGCAGACCGAGGGTCCTGTGGCATTGGCCGGAAGTGGGTCGGTGGTGCAGCAGCAACCGACGTGAACGATGGCAGCGGCAATGTATAGTTTACGCTGCGAGGAGGCACGGCCGCAACTTGCGGTTACGTTGTAGGGCTGGCGGAGGTGGCTTTATGTAGGCTGGACCGGTGAATGATGTTAGTTTCTCCCTTAGGATGTCGCGGAGGGCCTGCTTGAAGGCTGTGTGACAGATGGAGAAGGTGGTGAAGAGCCCATTTATTGGAGTTCTTCGCGTATGTTCTCCCGTATCATGTCACGCAGGTCCCGATCTGCTGCACGGTGCTCGCTATTGCCCGACTACGGGCGAACAGAATCAAGTTCGTCGAGATGCTGACACGTAGAGACGACGTCAGCGACAGTAGAAGGATTCTGGGCAACAAGAGCATTGAAGGCAATGCTTCCGATGCCCTTTACGGTGTGGCGCAGTTTGTCTGACTCGGACATCGAAGAATTGACGCGCCGGCAGAGCGCAAGGACATCCTCGATGTACGATGTGTACGACTCGCCGGGATGATGTTGGCGAGCATCTACGGTTCTCTTCGCTAGAGCGGATATAACAGCAGGTGTGCCGAATACTTGGGGAAGCTGCTGCTTGAAGGCAGGCCAGTCGGTGAAGTCAATATCATTGTTCAAAAACCATGTCTTGGCAACACCCGTGAGATAAAGCGATACTCGGCGGAGCTTGCTTACAGTCGTCCCAGTGATTAGTTGTGCTTACTCGCTCGTAGTTATCGAGCCAGTCCTCCATATCTTCGCTACGGAGACCAGCGAAGATGTGAGGGTCGCGCTAGTGGTTTACGATGTAAAGGGGAGGGGCTTGCGGCGCAGGGTTGGGAACAGAAAGGGCGTCCGCCCACTCACACTGAGATATGTTGGTGGACTGAGGGTCCAAGCAACGACCTGAACGGAGTTCCAGCGCGTAAGCGTTGTGAGGAGAACCCCGGGGTCGTCAATCCACCTCCACCACGTATGACGACTCGGTTGTAACGAGGTTTATTGGCCATGAACTCTGGAACGAACAAGCGCAACGGACCCGAAGATGAAGCGCACGTTCAAAGACAACGATGACTGTCAGCCAGAACAGATGATGATGATTGACTGCTGTCCAGATGAGGATGAAGTGCATAATAGATGCCTTCCCATATATATATATATATATATATGGGACATGGCACAACGGGAATATATTCATCCTTGTTGACAACGCTCCCCCGTTGTGCCATATCCCATACCTTCACGCTTCACGAAGACTAACTGGCCCATTGAATTATTACTCCCACTATATATATATATATATATATATATATATATATATATATATATATATATATATATTTATATATATATATATATATATATATATATATATATATATATGAAAAAAACAAGAAATAAAAATAATTCAAAAAAAGAAACTCCGGCGCGTGGAATCGAACTTGGGACCTCTGAAACGTTAGTCTGCGGCGTTAACCAATGAGCCACGGTGAGGCACGTCCTCCAACGTTCAAACGGCAAGCTATTTATATCTACCACTTATGATGCGACGGCGCGCACTTATCTCCTACGTACTTTGCCCTGCGAAGAGGAGGGGGGTGGACGCTCGTGCGCCCTTATCTTGTGGTGGGGAGGATCGTATGTCTTGGCTGGCCTTGGGATTCAACCGAAATGATTCTGTTGTACTTACTGCATGCACAAAGGACACTGCAATCGTTTCAGTCTCCGTTTGGGAAAAAGGTGCACTTTTCAGACACAGCAAAGTAACAACTGAAACGCATATTCGCATTCATCTGTACATGTGAGCATGTTTCGTGCATCATTTTTGCGTGAGAAACGTGGGGCATGATTCGATCTGCTTGCCGTTTTGCACGTGACCTTTCAATTTGTTGCTTTGGCGTTCATTGCTTGGCCTTTGCGGCAAAGCTGTGACTTTTTTTATGGTTCCCTTGCGATGTTGAAGGAATTGGGAACCACGCCGCCGCCAAGCACTTCAAGGTGAAGTACTTCAGCATGTCACAATCGATGCAATCGGTACAGTGAGAAAGCAGATGATGTGCTTACTTGCATATGCTGCCATTGAAGAAGGCCTTTTTGATTATGTTTGGATGCTTAGGTCTCCCGGTTTGCCGTGTCATGGGACCTAGTTTTTCCCAGCATTGTTGAGAAGAGCTTCAAGGAAATAGGGATATCCGAAGGCGCTCGACGAAACCGAGGGTGACGCGTTTTGAGAGAGTGGTGACAGCGACCGTGACAATAATTATAATTCCCAAATCGAACTTCATGATAAGTGATTCCCACTGCACCGTGCCGACCGGATCTGCCTGGTTAAAGTACGTGCTAATTCTTTTAAATTAAGGGGTACGCTTGGTTTGTGTTTAAATTTACTTTTCTTTATGTACATACTGCGCGCGTTAGGACTGTACCACAATATTTCGTACATGCGCTTGCGAAACCTCGCGATACCTTGCGAAACCTCGGGGCCCCTAAATAGCAAAAAAGTGCACAAATTGTGTGAATAAATACGGTAGTATCATTGAAAACAAGTTCTGAGGGCTTCCAAACCAGTAAGGTAACTTTTCTTGGAATTGGTGACAGAATAAGATATAATAATTATGAAATTTCCTGAAAGAGCTTAAGGGGGAGGTCAAGGCCCTACGGAACCAAGCCTTTGATTAATAATTATTGAAACTGTGTATGAACGACACTGCTATGGAATAGATGTGAGTATAAAGATGACTCAAGGTAAGGCTGATAGTAATGCTGAAGATGACTATATGGGACTTTAGGTCAGCAAAAGGTAATGTAATTCACTCAGACTCACTGACAGAACATATTTTGTGCTTTGGACTCACTTGGACTCGGACTCACCAAAACTTTCTTCAGCCAGGCTCAGACTTACGGAAATATCACTCACCGTGATTCCCTCAAACTCTGGCTTCACGACTCGATCTGAGTCTGAGTGAGTCCGAGTGAGTCAGTCTGAGTGTGTCCGAGTGAGTCGACTCATGAGTGAGTTAGCCAATCTATGCTCTTGGCTCATATATCATATTGAGCGAACTCCTAAAATAAAAGATTGTATGTCTCTGCAGAAACCTCGATTGGATTACAAAGTGGCAAATTTAGATGCCTTGAATGCGGAAATAGTATTGCTATAAATCCTACAACCTGCGCCTTATATTTTATTCAAACAGCAGCAACAAGAGACATCGCAACAACAGTACTATCAACAGCAGGCTTACCTGCAGCAGGCTCGGGCACAAGCGCAAGCAGCTCAGGCACAGGCCCAGGCAGCTCAGGCAGCTCAGGCACAGGCCCAGGCACGTGCTCAATTTTCACAGCAGCAGGCCCGCTACCAGTTCCAGCAGAGGCAGCAACAACACAGAATGCCACAAGCAGGGGCACGCCTATCACAGGCACAGCAGATCTATACCAATGCGTACAATTACTGCATCAGTCAAGGGGTCACCCATGCTGCAGCGAGTAGATATGCCTTGAACCAGCAGCGAGTAGCCTTCCAACAGCTGCTCATGCAGCAGCAAATGCAGCAGCAAATGCGTAACCGCCCTGCACCACAGAGCGTGGTCATCTCCGAAGTAGAGGACGACGCGGAAGTTGCCGGCTCGTCGTCATCTTCCGGCACGCGACAGCCACCGTCGTCGTCAGTTGTGATCACGGAGGTCATCGATTGAGACTCCTACTGTGTCCTTATCACAGACCCCATGCTGAGCTTCGAATTTGTCATCAGCACAGGCTCCAAGGAGGCCAGTGAGGTTACCACTACTGTGCAGTGACACTGGTGGTTTTCTAAACTGAAAATATTTCATGTATAATATTCCTTGTTCATTTATGGGGTTGACATTCAAAACTACGGGCAGGTGGGCTTTCATGTCTGATGTAACAGTCAAATCAAATCTTAATGTTGGTCATTTTGCTGATACAAACATCGGAAGGTGTAATTCAATAAGTTACTGTAGTCATCTGTTGCTTGGTCAGTTGTACGAGTGTTAATTCATCAAGTGGACTTCGTTTATGGTCTTGTTCGTACAGTAAATAACAGTTCCATTGTTGTAACTTTTGATATATTAAAGGTATTGTTTGGAAATACTGTAGCAGGTTTAAAAATGCACGCTTTTTCTTCTGAAAAGTAGAGCTGAAAAAAAAAAATAGCAATGACTACATTTATTGTGCATTTTTTTTTTCCTAACTGTACAAGTGTTTCCCATTGCATAGTTGCCAACGCCAGCACACGTACCATATTCCTGGAAATGGCAAGTTTATGCATACAGGCTGTCTTGTAATGCCCGAGACCAATTTTGCTATAGTATGCTCATGACCTCTTGCAGTGATGTGCTGGGGCACTGAGTGCCATTCTTTATTGCATGCACTTAGCATAATTTTAATACTTCATTGATGCTTTGTGAGGAGACATTACTTGCACCAGTCAAACCAACTCCAAGTTTCCACTCACTTGTGTTCCTTGCATTAAGTTCACCACTTTTGTCATTGTATTCTTCTTGTTTTATCTGGTTATGTGGCCAAGACCTAATGTTCTATTTAATGTTAAAGTGCTCTATTTAATGTTAAAGTGCACCCAATCGCTGCATTTGTTTTTGTTTTCTTTCTTGTGTGTTTCTGCACATCATTGAGTGGCCCAAAAAGCATAAGAAAGTATAAGCACAACTTTCTCTTATATATTTGGATATATTGTATTTATGAAATATATTGAATTAGCTTTGTCCTCATTGAGTGAAGTGTGGCTGCAAAACCATGAAGCTGTATTGTCATTGCGATTTTGGCTACCGTAACACCACAAGCTACAGTCATTGTATAAAAACGCCTTGTAAAGTTGAGCTTGCTGCCAGTTTTATTTAATTGGTTGCTCATGGTTATACAAAGCTCTATCTTTTCTTTATAATTATAGTTTGCATAGGCTTATGCACTGTGCACTCGTTTTAATTTAAGTTATGCTACTGGATGTATCCTGGACAGATAGATGCATCAGAAGCACAGTTTAACACACTAAAGCCAATAAAATTATCGCTCGTGACCTTATTAGGTCTGCTGATAGGTATACTGTACATTTTTAGTCATTTTAATTGATAACGTGTTCCTTGGTCAGTTACTCAGTGACTACTGTATCTCATTTGTACAGCTAGTGTATGTTCGTACGAAAGTAAAAAAAAGAAGTGTGATGGTGACCTAATGTATAGAAAATTCTATGCTTCTTTTTAGATGCTTCTACTTTTCTTACACTTAAATTGCATGTGCAGAGTCCGACAGTCACGCCTCATATGCATATGTGGGCACAACTCTGCATATCTCTGTTCAATTGCTTTTTCCACTCCATAAAAGTGTTTTTACGATTTTATGCTCTGCCAGTTGCTTGCGCTGGGTATTTACATCTGCGTAAAAGTTTCAATTCATGGTGCTATGGGTCACTGTGTATACTTGCTCGCGCATGCCTTTTGCAATTAAGGATATTGAGACAAGTATTTTCGCACAAAGTTAGTATCGTCTGACTAAAATGTGTTGTCAAAGTTGTCGGGGCTGTCTACATGAGAGAATAATGCGGCTAGTTTGATTTGATAGTGCGTTTTGAGGCTCCGCATGTGCAGGAAACTTATCCGGCTAATGAGAAAATGCAATCATCTGACACACTAAGTCTTATGAGCTTCGAAGATTATTTGGTTTGCTGGAGTGGTTTGGACAACCGCGACATTAATAATGCGTCTATTCGGCCTAGTTTTTGCCGTGGATAATCTCATGCAGTCAATAATGTCACAGCAGGCTCGTTGACTGCCACTTACAGCATGGAATCGATGATAATGATCTCATTTAGAAACAGAACTCCAAGAGCCCTAATATTTGGCCAGAATCTTTAAGCTACAGAGACAAAGGCCCCACCGCGGTGGTCTAGTGGCTAAGGCACTCGGCTGCTGACCTGCAGGTCGCGGGTTCGAATCCCGGCTGCGGCGGCTGCATTTCCGATGGAGGCGGAAATGTGTAGGCCCGTGTGCTCAGATTTAGGTGCACGTTAAAGAACCCCAGGTGGTCGAAATTTCCGGAGCCCTCCACTACGGCGTCTCTCATAATCATATGGTGGTTTTGGGACGTTAAACCCCACATATCAATGAATCAGAGACAAAGTATTGCAGCTAAGTGGCACATGCTGCCTCTCGCACGAGTAGTTGCTACTCTAAGTTTGCAAGTGTGGTAGAGCACTATGCTTGCCATTCTAGTACAGTTATAGCAGTTAGTATTCTGTCTAAAAGACAGTTTTCCAGTGCACAGTACAGTTAGTAATATGAAGTTAAGGGATGCTTTGTGGAGCAGAGTTCTGAGAGTGAATAGGGAGTACGAGCACTAAGCGGCACTATTGCTCAAACGAAACAGACGTCGTTGGGACGTTGATAAGGTAAATTCTGTAGACAACAATACATTGATACAATCATTTGTAAACTGTGCCTGCAGACTCGGAGCATTGATCAAGGTGGAAGAGATCTCAATGAAACCTTTTTTGTTTTTTAAGTGTGCAGCACTTTAGGGGTATGGCCTGTTGTCCCGCCATTGATCCTGTGTGGCTTGGGCATGCTCGAAATCAAGTGATACAGGCCTAAAACAAGGCTAACTATGCTTAAAACCGGGTTAACATAAGTGAATGAGGTCGAAAATAATTTATTAAAAGAAATAACCAAATGATTGCAAAAATTGATTTAATATCTCAAAAAACACCTTGGAAACATACGGCTGACATTTGTGACGCGCAAGAAAGGGTGCCACCGCCTCGCCTTGTGCATGATTGCTCCTTCCAATGCCGCTTCTCTGGCGCTACACGCGAAGAAGAAAAGAACCTGATGGAACTCCTGCAGACAGCATGCATCTTGGCTAGCGTAACAAGCGATTAAGCACTATAGAAAGTAGCATGCATTTTGCACACAGAGTTTGCGAATTTCCCCCACCCCCCTCAAAAAAAAAAATCTAGCTCGTGCTGGGCAAACTCTACATGCTTACACGAATCGTTGACATCATCGATCACTTGGTAAATGGAGCAGTGGGTACTCTACATACGGGGAATTGCTGGGTACCCGTGCTAGGCACTTCTTCAAGTTACACAGTGGTAGAGCTGTATTTACTGCAGGATTTGGAAGTATATCAATCGCTACACAAGACAGACGCTCAACGAAATAATGCATCCAGAGGAGTTTCTAACAAGACCCTGTGACGGTAAGCCATTGTAGCTGCTGGCCGCGCCAACCATCTAGAGGTTGCTCTGCCCTATTTGGGCTACCTGGATAGCCTGGGCTTGGTTTTGTAGCACAGATGCTGTTTTTTTTTTTTTTTTTTTGCTGTTTTAGACTTATTCGAAGCAGGTCAACATGCTCTTGCCATCGTATGCGTCCGAATGGAAAAAGCGCTGGCAGGTGCATCAGATAGGTCATCAGAAAGAGTGTGGTAGGACTTAAAGCTTGTTGTGTGAATGACGGGCTATCAAATGTCAATGTCGAACGGTGAGTGGTGGACTACAAAGAGCAGGCCAGGCCGTTTGACAAGATTCATTGGTCGCTTTGTGTGGCGCACATTAAGGTGGCTTGTAGCGTGGGAGAAATATATTGAAGAGCCCCGTGCTATGTTCAAGGGACCGAAGCAGCCCAGGTGAATAACCTAAAGAAAAAGAAATGAAAGGTAGGAAAATATTCCTACAAGATGCCTGGTTAAATTGATTAGTGTGTGTTAAGGTGATGGTTAATTTTCTGAGCATGGTCAGAAAATGCTGCCGACCGATAGTAGAGGGTCCCGAAACACGCGAGCCTAATATTATAGTTCAGTACGTGGCCTAGAATTCACAATAATTATCAGTCAGTTAAAAATTGTTTTCTCTCGACAAGTGACGGAAAACGCTAAAAAATCACTTGTAGAAAGCCCATCTATCAGCCATTGGCTGGTTTGAAAACATCGCGCATTAGAAGAAAAAAAAAGTGCTCAAGGTCACAAGGCGCAAGCGACGCATTTTCTTTGCCCCTGCCATCCCGCTCGGCTTAGCTTCCAGCGCTTTCGTCGGGACGAGAGAAGAGAGAAATCTTTGTAATTCCACTTGCACTGTACAGAATCTTGACATTTTTGCGGCGATGGATTCGTGAGGCAATGAGCTTTTCCAGTGGTTACTTTCCATTAATGCCATGGTTACTTGAAAAAGTGTTTCATGGCACTTTTGATGCGCTTTTGGTTTTGTTGGGATTTGATTTTGTTGGGACTCTGAACAAATTAGCTCAAATTGCTGCCTGTCATTGGTGTTGGCGATGTAACCATTCATATTCTTGGTTATCGAGTCATTAGCAAACTGTGTATAAAGATTCATGGTGGATGTTGAGTCGGACATCATGTATAAAACATACTGCTTTGATTTTGAAGTTTTTATCTCTAATCATTAGCGATTACTCACTGCAATGGTCATTATCCCAACTAGTCCATACAGTTCCACTGAGTTTACAAACTGTGTCTTGCATGCAGCCTAAATTGCTGAAGTAACTGTTCGTGTCAGTAGTAATCATGCACTCGTTTACATGCACCAAGAGCACATGACGTATCTTCTACTGGTACGTCGCAAGTTGCTTAAGTTTTCATACTGGTGACGTTACACTGCGATAACACGTCAATGAGAAGCCGCTCTCTTGCTATGAAAACCGAAACTTTTCTTAAGCTTGTTGTGTTAAAAATAGATATTCTGTGCAATTGCAGGCACCACAAGACTTATCTTTTACGTTCTTGACAATAACACTTTTGCTTGGAACAACAATCCGAACATATTGAAATTTGTGTTGGTCCATCACGGCGACGACGCTATCTACAAATCTGCATGGTTGTGTGTGTGTGTGGGGGGGGGGGGGGGGGGTGTCTTTTTCGCAGGCAATCCCGTCGACTGAGTCAAAGTAAAAAGCACCCCCCCTCCCCCCCACGGTTTGATTCAGCACTACCTAAGCTACGGGGGGCTAGGAAAGCCATACGCTTGCGTAGCGAAACGTAGGCCTTTGAAGGAAACAAAATAGTAAGAAAATGAGCGTTGCTGTGGGTAGCGCGAAGGAACGCGTCGATGGAGAAACAGACGTACGATCGAGAGCCAGGAACAGCGTCGGAAATGAACAGCCTAAAAGTGAAGTTGTCCGCCGACATGAGATTCTACCGATCTTCAGCAGAGTAGTAACAAATTCACGCTTCTTCGCAAGTTCTCGGTGCAGTTGCTTGTTTTGCTCTACCGTATTTTTAAGTGAATAAACTAGCCATAATAAGTACAATTCGTTAAGCACACACAATGAATACGGTGGGCAGACGACACGGCGCGAATGAATACATGTGGTGCAGCGCCAGAACGCAATGCCTAGCGGAGAAAAAACAGTCAAAATTGAACGTGGTGCCCGCGTCTCCCTGTCCGCGTCAGTGAGCGCATTGCAGCAGCAATACACGGGGACGCGTGCGCGCGTCTGTTTTCTGCATGCCCCTGATAGTCAACAAATTCAGGTTGGGCTAGTGCCAAAAACGCAGCTCCTCTTTAACCTCCACAGTGCTGCAGTCAGCGTCCCCCCCCCCCCCCCCCCCCCCCGTAGACACGTGTGGCGTGTTCCGTAAAATGATTTCGCAATAACTTCAGTCTGTGCGCTCGTTCACTTTTCAAGCGTTCGTGTATTTGTTCACTGGTTCACCAGCACTTCCGTACATACAGTTTCATTCAATAATAACTTGTATGAAACTCTATGATTCCGTAACTTCAAAAGAACGCGACATCAGGGCTGTCGCAAAACAACTCGTTAAAATCAGGTACAAAGTTTTCATTCTCAGCAATGTATGTGGTTTTTTTTTGTGAAGCTGGTAAAGCTTGTGGTTTTGCTGCCCATAAAAATGTCTGATCGATCAGACCACGGAGGGATATGACAAAGCTATACGCAGCTTTCCACACGGGCTTCTTCGTACTGTGAGCCATGGCGTCAACAAAATTTTTTTGCGGGCGTTCATTTATTTTTGTTCTTGGTGCATGGGATTTCTATGAACTTTGTGACCAGCCTAAGTCAAGTATAGGAAATTTAACTGCAGAGTAGGAGTTGTGACACAAATGAACAGGAATAAAAAAAATAACAATGGTAATTGCGGAATTGCATCGCCATCGCCATGCTCCATGGGCATCGCCATCTTGCTATGTCGCTGATAGTCGCTGGCTCAATGAACGAAGTTTGCCGAACTACCGCTGGATGGTAGATGTCGGTGATCAGCTGCACGGAAGTTTTGTAAGCACAATACTACGTTGTGTCATGTAGTGACAACAAAGCACATTGACTGCTTTTTTGTACGCTATGCTCTGTCGAAAGCGACAGCCAGCTGAATCTGCACAAGTGCGGATCACTTACTGAAAGGCGGGTTTTTAACCATGCCCACGCACAGGCATTCATTCCACGATGATATTACCGAAGCGTCATCTGACACCTTCAGTGTGATCGGTCATGTCCAAGTGTAAACCGCTGCACGTGTCGTACAGTTTAGTTTAGCCGGAAAATGCTTGTGAACGTAGTCAATGGATGACTGTAATCGTGCTATCTTGAATAGCGCCGTGTATGAAACGCGCAGGGTGCGGGCCCAGTCCTCGTCGTCTCGTCAGACGAACTGTGCCAACATTTGACTAATGTGAATGTCGTGTGCATTTACGCGCGTTTATTGTGCCTTCAAAACTTAGCAGGCCTCTCGCAACGTCAGGAGGCGCGAAAAGGAAGGGTTTGCGACCATGGCCGACGTCTCAAGCTTCAAGACAGCCGGTAAAGATTTTCTTGGGTGATCTTGACCTACGGTTAAGAACACATAAGAGAACGAGATTTTTAGTGACTTGGTGCATTGTTTAGGGTGAAGATAAGTAGATAAGATTGCAAAGTTCAAACTGAATCGAGAACGGTAGAGAGACACCACTCAGGCGTTGTGCCCTCATTTCTGTAGTTTGGGCTCATGTGCTAGATTACTGTTAGTGGGGACCGAAGTCTACATGTAGCTGGTACGTGGTTAGCTAGAATTGTTCTTGCAGCTCGTTCTCTGGCATGAGTTGTGAGAGAGGCATGTGGTTTCAGATGGGCGAACCTAATCACTTGTCTCGCTGAGAGCCTGCGATGTTAGTATAAATACATCAGTGGTATGATGGCTTGTGACAGGGATTTGTCGCATGATTCTTCGCGCCTCTGAGACATCAAGTGCTCTATGAGTACTAACGTCCACGCAGCCATCTTTGAATCCCGGTGCAGGTGCCCTCCAGAAACCCATTTTCCTGGGGCTGGGAATGAGTTTATTTTACTGCATTGACCTTGTACAATGTTCTTGTAGTTGACAATACAGGGATAAAGAAGATTGACAGAGTAATGAAGGCAATTTTGGAGGATATCAGCCAATTACACTGTGTTGGCCTGCTTTTAAATTATAAATAAATAGTCCTGTTGTCCAACTATAGTGTTGGCGCACATACATTCACTGGGGCTTGACATGGCAGAACGTGAACTTTGTTATGCCACATTAGGGTTAACAGACATTGTATGCTGGGTCCTACGTTTTTGCACAAAGGCCCAATAGCGTTCCAGCGCTTGTAGTTATCACACTGAAGCAGGTTAATCGTCGCATGATTATACTGCCTCGACATCATCCGAGCTACCATGTTGTGCTTCCATGATGTCACATGCCGGCCATCAATGTGCAGCAGCCATGAAGATAGGTTGGATCAAATTGTGGTTTCTATTTATTCTGCAAGTGGCATGCCGCCTTCATAACATTCATATCGCAAGCCCTATCATGCAGAAGTACGATTTTTTCACAAAGGACAAGCGCCCCCATTTTTTCGAGGACTACTGACTGGAAAGCCGAAGATCATAAACAAGTTTAGTGGCGTTAAAGGTACCAGCAACTGCCCAGATCATGAAATGAGATGACTGCACAGATGGAAAGATTGTCCCTCACAGTGACTCAATCCAACCCTGTTTTTCTCGTGAAAAGTGGAGTTATGTTTTTATTTCTTCATTAAAAATCATGAAAATAGCCTGTGGCGCCTCCTGGCAGCAGAAACTTCAATTATCTGATGTAACCTGTCATGTGACCGTAAACTAGTGTACACGGTCAAAAGGTTTTGTTAGTATTGAAATATTGTTTGCTTCTTTATATTAAAAGATATTACTCCATAAAAATGTACATATAGACCTGCGTTAGTTGTGTGCTATAAAGTGTAGCTGCCTTCGTTTGATGTAACAATCCGATGCTCGTCAGCGCATCTTGAGCAACTTTTCTGCGTGCTCATCAAACCGTGCAAGCAGATTCCTGGTCGCTAAGATATTGGAGCGACTTGGTTTTTCTATCTACAATCTGTCTGTTAGTCGGCATGGCCACACATATGCGCAGTGACGTTTTTGGTGGCTTGGCTTGGCTCATGTGTCGAGAGAGTAATGATGACGGGACAAGCCATCCATGACACAGGGGCAACAACCTTGGGCGCAGGCGCACGCAACGCGGTACACATACAAAGAAGCTGTATAAAGTCACATAGTCTCATTTTAACAGCTCGTTACTTTAAAAAATAGCTGTAAAGCTCAGAATAAACATGGTTAACATGATAGTTACAGGAACTCCTGCGAAAGCAGAACAGCATGCACAAGTCGCCAGAAAGGCTACAAGCATCGCTATCAGTTCTCAGCATTGCTGGATAAAAGGGCTCATCCGTGCTCAGAGCCTTTCATATAAGAAAATACTGCTTATAAAATAACTTTGCTCTTTTGGTATTAACTACTGCAGCTACAAACACTACGAAAGGGTAAGCTTTCTGTCGCACCGAGAAAAACTGGGGCGAAAAAAGTCAGCTGTTGGTCCCTTTAAAAAATAATGACGAATAATATAATGGTCCTTACCCTTCACATTGCTTAAAAGCTACTTGCAGAAAATTTTCAACTTTAGCTACATTCATTACAAATTACTGCTATATTCTATTGGAGCAATCTTGGCAAAGATTCAGAGCTGGTTACTGTGTAATGCTAACATTTAGAATGCGTGTGCACTTCGTAGTTGGTGGTAGATCTGACGGATCAACACATTAAAAGAAAAAGAGCTTGGCTTTCATTTTTGTTCCTAGTGAGCTGTTACCTGCTGGGAGTTGTCATAGCTTAAATGAAAAAATGCCTTTATCAGACTAAACTTACGTAGTGTTGCTCTGTTGGAGGTACTCGTTGAGCTCAGCCAATCAGGCAGAGCCAGTGTATGCTTACATATGGCCAGCATAGCCATGGTCATACAGCGATCAGAAATACAACATTCTGACATCATGAGAAAACATATCAAAGAAACATTTGCGACCAAGCGTCTTGATTTTAGTCTTATGATAACGACGGTGTGTGCGACCACAACTATGGCCATTGCTGCGCTAGTGCCCTCCTTGCGGATGACATTGGATAAATACTTTCTATAAGGTGCCTTTAGGCCGGTCTTGTTTATTGGGCCATTTTGGTAGATAAGGCGCTATGCTTGCACTGTGGTGCATCAGTGGCATTGAACTGCACTGCACATAACATTGTAGCAGACTACATGTCATAGTAAAATTCAGTGCCTTTTGTCTGTAGCTTGGGGTGATAGCTTAGAAGGTAGGGTGTTACGTTGCTAAACTTGAGGGAGTGGGTTGGATTGTGAGCTGCGGCGGCTCCATTTCAATGGGATTGAATGAAAGAACACTGGCTAACTTTGAGGTGCATGTTGAAGAACTCCATGTTGTCAAAACTAATCCAGGGTCTCTTACTACGTTTGCCTCATAATCTTTTCACAGTTATGACATGTAAAACCTCATAAATTATTATTAAATGCGAATGCATTTCTTAGTTAAGCTATGTCAGGCGTCTGTTGGGATCCGTCCACAGCCCTTTCCCATAGCAACAGCTGCGGGCGCGCGCGTTCTTAGCAACTGGAGCCCTCAGCCATGTCGCGCTTCGGCGTCAGTGCACCCCCTTATCCTCGCCCCTAGCAACCAGAGCCCCCACCTCCTTGAGTTGAACGGGACTTGCCACCGCCTCAATGCAGTGCGTTACTGCGTTTCTCACAACAGAAAAACGCCACTTGCGGTGAATGGCGCTATTAGGCTACACAGGTGTAAGAAAAAGAAAGAAAGCATTATTCTTCTAATGCTGGTTTCTCACGTGCAAAGCTTGTTATGTACGCTACACAATGCATTCGCATTTCTTCACGATTCCCTTCGGGAAGGTGGGGATATTTATTATTATTATTATTATTACTATTATTATTATTATCCTGTGAGCTGACCTAGACATTCAGGCAGTCATGGGAACCTAGTTTTCTTTAGCAATAGGTTGCAGGATCAGAGTACACCAAAGCGACTTCTTTTTAGAAAAGTAGAGGTATTAGCATGGCACTTGTGTAGAATGATAAAGGCACCTGTGTGACATGGGTATGGGAAAGGAAAGAGGTTACTTCTGTATGAAAATGCAGCAGTAATAACATATATTGGTAGGTATATGTTATTAGCTTGAATAAGTAACATGTTCACACGAGAGAATGTGTAGAGCAAGTGCACGCGACTTGCTTATCAGCAAAGGCCTACTGAATGAATAAAAAAGCATTGCACAAAAGGTACATGCAGGAAGGTAGGACATGTTCGTGTTCTCCTCATCATGCAGGCCGATAGGTGGGTGCACTGGTGCACTCTCTTGCCTTCTTGGATATTAGAGAAGCTTTTTATGCGATAGCACTGAAGTGCTTATATTGCAGAATGTCAGTGTTGATGTCATTGGTTGTAAGTGAAAAATTGTTGTTCGTGAGTGAAAAATCATACTAGATGCAAATAATAAGAATTAACCGTTGGAGACGGAATTGAAGTTGGGCCTTCTGCATGGCAAGCAGGTGTTGTAGCACGAAGCCACACGAGTGCTTGAAACTGTTTAGGATAAAAACGCTATACAATATCATGTAGTGTGAGTAGCTGCGTTGCAAGTGCAGAAGCGTAGAATCATACCAGTTCCTCTTCGCAGTAGGCAATGTAGGATAGTTTGAAACTGCTATTGTATTGCCCTTGACTGTTCCTTTCTTTGCGGCACAGTTTAGTTGTTGACAGAGATGCAAAGCTAGGCTAGAGATTCAGAAGGCGATGTGAATGATTATGCTGTTGCATTCTATTCACGATGAAGCTCGAGCATCACAACTGCACGGTTTACATACTCTGCTAAATTACTTATTTTTTTTTTTGTACTCTTCCTATGTTCTGCAGAGCATTTGTGATGCACGTACGACTGTGTTGAACAGGCTGGGCCATCAAGAAGTTCTACATGATATTAGTAAATTTTGTTTTATACTTTTTGTGGGGGGGGGGGATGGGCTGGGGGGTGAAGAATACATGAAAACAGTGTAAAGGGCTGCTTTTTTATTTGTCTGATAATGCATATATGACATTTATTTTTTACTTTTATGTGGCCTTGTTTATGTTAATTTACCGTAGTTTCAAAATAAATGTTTTGTGTATTACAGAGGAACACTGTTCTGCTGCAGTGGAGCCAGGCTTGCCAGTGCCGGTCTCAATGAGTCCGGGAGACAGTGCAGTTTGGCATCTTCCAACAACCGGTTAGTGATGTTAGATGAAACTACACTATACTATGTGTGGGAACACCTTTCAATTTATGATCAGGATTATTGCCATAAAAATATCAGCAAGCCAGAATAGGTACAAGAGAGAAAATATGGGTGATAGCGTTGCCTCGACGCTACCACATTTTCTTAGTGATATCATCATCATAAATTTCAATACCATCTTCTCAGGTCTATAAAATGATTAATTTGCCAAAGTTGATTACATTGTGTTCCAGAGTAGCGAAAGACTTAACAAAACAAGTTTCATGGAGCTTCTCTTGGTCATTTCAGTCAAAGTAAAACTGCAAAATTAGAAAAATACCACAGTGGTCATTATTTTGTGTTTTAATGATGGACTTATGATTTCAAACTTAGGGGCGCAACAGCTGCGCCAATTTGGTACAATCCTTTATTTTTGTGCCGAGTTGTGCCAAAACCATGAAAATTGCTGCAATTGCGCCACACTGCACCAAAATGCTTGACCAGCCTCAAATGTTTTTTAGTTGCGCTAACTTGAGTCAGAAATGAAGGCTATGTTGGTCACCTGCAGTTTGCGTCATCAAAGTCCAAGCACGCAGACCTTAAACCATGGTGTACGATGTGTTAGGTCACGACACTCGCCAGACGTTATCGACATAACGCATAAACGGGGCTTGCCCGTTGGTCCACTGTCCGCAGCGGAGACCGATCGGCACGCGAACAAACTCGATGTGCTGCTATCGTCGGCGCTGCCGGTAGGCACGTTGGTTGCTATAGAAACGGCACATGAAATATTTTTCTTTCTTGATGTTGCGTCATCCCCGCGGTAGATTAACAGTGCCGTTTCCAAGCCAATGGGCATGCGCCGTCATTACTTTATCTGGTCGGACGTGCCTTTCCAGCGAGTCAAGAAGTAGTGCTCTTAACCTAACCACATTAATATCTAGGGACTTTAAACCCAATCATGAAAGAAAAGGCGTTGGGGGGGGGGGGGGGGGAGAGGAAAGGTTCAAAAATTTCTTGGCCTTGTTTTAAAACGTGCAAAATCCTGCTTAAGCCATTTTTGCCCCAGTACACTGGTACAGTGAGGTAAAGCATATTCAGATTTGAAAGGGGCTGTTAATACTAGTGATTCATGAGAGGCATGACATTTTTTTTCGATTACTCATGCATGTATACACCACGTAATTGTGAGTACTAGTATGATTGCGGACGTCTAAAAATGGTACTGGTTTATTGGCAATCATTTGGAACAGTGTATGACATTTCCGCAGCCCTAAAAAAATAGTTTTTTCTTTTTTTCGCCACTCCTATCTCTCAGTTTCAAGAATCTACTAAATTTCTGGGTCCCCAGCATAGAGCACAGCATGGGCCGAAAACTCTGTGCACCGGCCTGCTTGAGCCCAGCACGGGGTTTTTTTTAATATGGCCCGGGCCCGGAAGGTTGGGCTTGGCCCGGTCTGTTCCAGCCAAATATGCCTTCAGCATAAATAAAGCGCTGTCCAATCTTCGGTTATTGCATAGATACCTGCAGCACACAAGATAACTTATAAAGTGTGTTTTAAGAATTTCTTTCTTAACTTTAACTTCCTTGACAACTTTAATTATTCCTGTGTATATATTTGGTTAATTACACCTGTAACACTTTTCGGAAATAATTTTACAGCAATGTCAAATAAAATTGGAGTTGTTGCATTTCAAAGACTGCAAAGTATAATACCATCATAAAGTGAAAAAAATGCCATTCATTTGTACTCTGACTCTATATAATGTGCATATGAGCTCTGGCTATTGAGTTAATGCAGCAAGTGTTCTGCAAATTTCGTGTATTACTCTATAGAATGAAAAAAAAAATTCTACTCGTATCTTCCTGGGGGAGAACTCAAGTAAATATTTCGCAGAATGGGAGGGGGTGGTATTGTGGGAATGTTGTGTAATTGGGTATGGTTTGGGAAAGTCTAATTGTGCATCATCATCATCATCTTCAGCCTGAATTCTCCCACTGCTGGGCAAAGGCCTCTCTCATGATCCGCCAATCAACCCAGTCTTGTGCTTTCTGCTGCCACGTTATACCTGCAAACTTCTCACTTTCTGTCTCCCTTTCATGCGTTTGCCTTATCTGGGAATCAAGTCAGTTACCCTTGATGACCAGGGGTTATCCTGCCTACGTGCTACGTGCCCGGCCCACGTCTATTTGTTCTTTTTATTTTATTATTATTATTTTATTGAATGAAGGAGAAGCGTTGCCTTCAACGTCAAACAAAAGCTAAGACTCTCTTGACTGAATTCCGAATGCGTGATCCAAAGCGTGAGCAGTCTTTTTTTTTTTAACTAGCAGATGCTAGCAGGCGAGAGAGGGCGAGAGGAGCGACAGTTCTCCTGGGCCAGCACAAGACGCGAGACGCAAGCCACCGCCGTTGCCAAAGCGCGACATAAGAAATGCTCCACATTTAAAATGCGCTTGGGCTGCTTCTGGCAGGAAAACACCAGGCTGCATAGCGTTACATAAAGCTGTCGTGTCGACTCTTGGATCAGCAACTGCCCCCAACGTACTACATCATGTTTTTGCTCTCAAAACAAGAAGGTTTTTCACTCCACACCCCGAATCACTGCCACCGCCTTGCCATATATCTGTGAAAGCGAGCCACCGTACCACCTTCGATCTTTGAAAGTGTTATGTCTTAAAGCAAAACCACATTAAGAGCTTTCCAAATAACTGCCTGTTAGGGCACCAAAGTTAACCAGCCTTCGTTATTTTTGGCGCTCCCCTCCCCACAGCACGCAGCAGAGTGCGATGCCCCGCTGGGACCGGAAGCTGGAGAGAGGGTGGCTGAAGGTCTTCGTGTGATCAGGTGGTGAAGTATGACTGTTTGTGGCTCACAATAGTGGTTGCAGACTTGCAGCTCGCGGCATGGACAACAGAGGAGAATGAGATGCGTGACAAAAGGGAAAAGTGACGATTATGGTAGGGAATAAAAGGTAAAGAAAAAAAAATTGGCTGATCCCACAAACATAAAAATCGATGTTATGTGAAGCATAACACAGATTCATCTTGAACAGTGGCATATGGTTTATATAAACAGCTGTTTACAGCAGCTTAAGGATACTACCAACGGCAGCATGAGAGTACCGGCGGCACAATCGATGAGGGCAGAATGCGTGGATAGGAAGTCCATGCCGAAGATTAGGTCGTGAGGGCAATTTTAAAGCACCGTAAATAAAACGGGGACATGGCGGCCGGCGATACTAACGTGAGCGGTACACATTCCAGTGATGGCCACAGTTCCACCATCAGCGACACGAAGGGCATTAGTTGCTGCAGGCGTGAGGATTTTTTGAGCAGGCGACACAGATAAGCACTCATTATGGACACTTGATCTTCGGTATCGGCTAACGCCGTCAAAGAAATACCGTCCACATACACCTCAATCAAGTTCGTATTAGTGGGGAGCGTCAACGGAGGATTTGGATCAGTCGCAATTGATGCAGCACTACCTCCCGGAGCTGCATGATCTAGTTTTCCGTCCGAGAGGATCCATAGTTGACCGGCGACGGATAGCGGCGTGGTTGGGGCGTTGAGGTGACGGCGAACGAGCGGTGGAGCGGCTGTTAGGCACGTCGGAATAAGGGTACAAACGACTGGGCGAATACCGACGGCAGTCCTTGTATGGTCGAGTAAAGGAAAATGGGCTCCAGTTTGAGGGCGTCCAAGTGCTGCGGCAGTTGCGGGAGATATGGCCAACTCGATGGCAGTGGAAGCAGATCGGTCTGTCGTCGGAAGTTCTCCATTCTGTCAGATTGCAGGATCACGTAATAAAGTGTAAGTCATGGCGTGGTGCATTTATTGTCATTGGTCTGGAGGTGGGTCGGGAGGCAGAGCAGGCCACAGGAATACCGAGCTTTGCAATTTTGTGCCTCACGACTGCTTGAATAACGGAGACCGCCGGAGGCGTTTGTGCGGCGCCATGGTTGAGCGAATGTGGAGGAAACGGTGCCGGACTTTGCGCCTCAAGCTCCCATCGAACTATCCGTGTCACACTGTCCTGCATGGGTGGCGCGGAACCGAGATTGGTGCAGGTTGTTGTAACAGCCGTGTTTGGTAGCCGCATAATCTGAGGCAGTTTTGGCCATTTTAAAGCGGCAGCATTCCTTAGTAATCATATCTACGGTCGTGATGTTGGTATACACGAGCAAGTTGAAGGCGTCGTCCGCAATGCCTCTGAGAATGTGGCCCACCTTGTCACTCTCTGTCATTTGCTCGTCCACTTTCCGGCACAACGCGAGCACGTCCTGTATGTACGAGACATTCGACTCAGTTGAGGACTGCGCACGAGTGGCAAGTTCTTTTTGCCCTTCCATTTGGCGACCGGACGGGTCCCCAAAGAGGTTGCGTAGTCGCTCCTTGAAGATGTCCCAGCTGGTGAGGTCGGTCTGATGGGCTTCGAACCAAACCTGGTGGGGTGCCGTACAAGTAAAATATTACGTTGGTGAGCATCATTGTAAGGGTCTCATCGGTGTGTCTGGCTAACACGCTCGTACATACGGAGCCAGTAGTCAACGTCAAGCCCAGGTTGTGCGGAGAATGTACCGGGTTCATGGGGGTGGGGCATTGTCAGGTATGTGGTGGCTGGAGCTACAGATGGATACGCTGAAGGGTTGTTGTTATTGGTAGCCATGGCTGGAGACTGAACGGTGCGGCCACTGCGTAGCTTCGTGGTGAGGACGGAACGTTCCACCTCCACCAAATATGTTACGGAAAAGAAGAGATGGCTTATCGACGAGGCTGTGGATTAGATGTATTTGAAACCAGTGGTAATGGCGTGACCAGTTCACCAGCGATCGAGCGGAGACCACACTTCGTCTTCCTCGTCAGGCACACACGTGCGTCGCCCCCTAGAGTCTCAGTATGCATGCATGTAGCAATATAAACAGCTGTTACAGCAATGTAAGGATACTACCAATGGCAGCATGACTATCGGACAACACTACAAGTAGTAAGCTGATATGCTACACTTGCGCTCGCGAAGATGGTAGCCCCAAACACTGCTGCATAAATCAATTTCAGCGTATGGTGCCCAAGTACAATTGACATTAACCCGACGTGAAAACTGTATTATAGGAGTAAATGTGTAACATTTATAACATTCAACATATCCAGCCCTGCAAACACACTGGATGTTTCACGAACATTAGGGTCTATTTGAAAAGTAGTTGCGAGACCTGGCGTGGCTCTGTGGTAGAATACATGATGGCCAAGCAGAATGCTGAAATTCGATTACTGCTGGGACCCTGATATTTATTTCTTTGTATTCGTCGCATCAAAGCTCGCGTTAAGATTATGAATGCCTATTCTCACCGTTCCTAGTCATGAATCGTCAATCACTTATGGCTTATACGCGCATATGTCTTAATCTTGAAGTGTTTGCGCTAACACACGGGGATAAAGATGAGAAATACAAACAGGTGCAAAAACTTCAAGATGAGTATATTCCAACAAGATTGAGTCTGAATTTCGTTGTATACGTGTGGGACATACCCACCCGTTGTATATGGCTATGTGCCGCACGTGTTTGGCGGAAAAGGTTTGACAACGTGCACGACAGAATAGTCTCTCATGAATAGCTAGTCATAATCGTAAGATCATCTTACTCTCCCGTACTGATTTCGGTTTACCCTAAGTTATGTAGGTCATCACGAGAGCACTTAGGCGTAAGAGATAGATAGATAGATAGATAGGTAGGTAGGTAGGTAGGTAGGTAGGTAGGTAGGTAGGGTAGGGTAGGGTAGGGTAAGGTAGGTAGGTAGGTAGGTAGGTAGGTAGGGTAGGGTAGGGTAGGGTAGGGTAGGGTAGGGTAGGGTCGGGTCGGGTCGGTCGGTCGGGTCGGGTCGGTCATAAATCGTTCCTAGTCATAACCGTTCCTAGTCATAAATCGTCAATCACTTACGGCTTATACGCGCATATGTCTTAATCTTGAAGTGTTTGTGCTAACACACGGGGATAAAGATGAGAAATACAAACAGGTGCAAAAACTTAAGATGAGTATATTCCAACAAGGTTGAGTCTGATTTGTTGTATATGTGTGGCACATACCCACCCGTTGTATATGGCTATGTGCCGCACGTGTTTGGCGCAAAAGGTTTGACAACGTGCATGACAGAATAGTCTCTCATGAATAGCTAGTCATAATCGTAAGATCATCTTACTCTCCCATACTGATTTCAGTTTACCCTAAGTTATGTAGGTCATCACGAGAGCACTTAGGGGTAAGAGATAGATAGATAGATGGGTCGGGTCGGTCGGTCGGGTCGGTCGATCGGTCGGGTCGGGTCGGGTCGGTCTTTTGATATAAGAAAACGGTAGAAGCTGGTAGAAAAAGCTTCGAAGAATAATAAAATCCTCAGCATGGGTTGTCACTGGAGCTTTTACAAATTTATGCAATAAAACTTGTCGATACAGCCGTGACAGTGCACCTCTGCGTCACGAAAAGTACCGCAGCAAACCATTATCATGATAATCATTTTCTTTAGAGTTTTATATACTTTCGCCACGGGGGAGTTTTAATGTTCTTTAGCGCCACGTGCTTGCCCTTCGGCAAATTAGTACATAACTGACAAAATATGGCAAGGACAAAGGAAGCCGTAAAGGTAACCCCAAAATTCGCATTGTACAATGGGAGTGCAAGTCGGTCGGTCGGTCGGTTGGTCGGTCCTTCGATATTAGAAAACGGTAGAAGCGGGGGGAAAAAGCTTCGAAGAATAATAAAATCCTCAGCATGGGTTGTCACTGGAGCTTTTAAAAATTTATGCAATAAAACTTGTCGATACAGCGGTGACAGTGCACCTGTGCGTTACGAAAAGTACCGCAGCAAACCATCATCATGATAATCATTTTCTTTAGAGTTTTACATACTTTCGCCGCGAGAGAGTTTTAATGTTCTTTAGCGCCACGCGCTTGCCCTTCGGCAAATTAATACATAACTGACAAAATATGGCAAGGACAAAGGAAGCCGTAAAAGTAACCTCAAAATTTGCATTGTACAATGGGAGTGCAAGTTAAGTATTATTTGCTAATTACCAGATACTACATGTATGAAGCTGCCTCGCTTTGCACGACAAATCTTCAACATTGGCATCGTTAGGCGCGTCTGGGATGAGTCACTCCACATCACGCACTTCAAGTGCACCAAAAATAGCTCCTGATATACTAATGACTCACTAGTCGCCTCTACCAGTGTACGTCGTCCCGCAGCTGAAAACAGGAGCAGTGGGCATGAGAACATAGCTGCATACTCGAGATGTTTTCCGAGATACACGTACGTAATATATACACTACTCTGGTCAATATATCATTGCTCTTAGCAGCAATACTACCTGGTAAACGTTTCCTTACTCGGTACTCTAGAGCGTCTTTCACTCAGTGTTGTAAAGTCATTTTATGAGTTTCTTAAAATTATGTGTAGTATGCCGATAGAGCTAAATGCTAGACCTCTTGTACTGTGTAATTACCGTGTAGGCTAATAGACTTTAATGTTCTAAATTACTCAAAGCCCTCATATGCAGCGTTTCAAATAGTGTCACATCGCTACGTTAAACCCCACAAACTAAACTAAAACAGCGTAACCACGTCGTTATACCGATACGTATGAGACCTGGGTTTACTCGAGCCTGACGCAGGCCCGGGCCCGATCCAACAAGCTCTTACCCGGGCCCGAAGCTCCCAGGCCCGAGCCCGGCCTGGGCCCGATTCAACAAGCCCTTACCCTGCCGGACCCGGCCCACGGGCCGGACCCGGGCTTTCGGGGTGGCCCGGGCCCGTGCAGTGCTCTACCCCAGCTTGGCAAAACCACATTTGAATTTGTAGAGTCCGTCTTAAGATTTGACAGGTGTGGCAAATGCTAATGTGGACTTCATCATTACCTACACAGCGGGATCGTTCAAAAAACTACTTCTATGGAAATAACAGTGCTCATGTTCACTCTGAACAATTTATGTGATGTTGAAAGGATTGTACATATTTTTTTTTAATGTAAGCCTTTTTAATACTGCTCTTTATTTTACGAATACCGGTGTCTCAATTAGTGAGACACAGCAGAAGCGAATACTAATGTTCAACACAAAAAAAAAGAATACATTTAACAGAATGCTTGATTATGCAACTCTTACAAATTGCTGAGCATAGAGTCTATGCAGAGACCCGTCAAGCTCATTCCATAAATCTACGGTCTGCAAAAAAAAAAAAAAAAAAAAAACTTAGAACGATTAAGGTTAGCTCTAAAGAGCATAATATTTAATGGACGAGTTTGTTAGGTACGAAATAATAAATGGATGCTTTTTTTTTCGTAACCTGCTCCAAGTTTTGATTTTGCTGCTCCGAAAATTGCTCCAAATTCTATTTTGGCTGTTGCATGCCTGAAAGCTTAATGACAGCAGTGTTCATTTAGGATAATTTATTAGTCTGGACTAGTTCAGTACTTTGTCTTTACATTAAGTATTTAGTGTCCTAATGAACTGCAGGACATACCCGTAGGACATTCAGGGCATCAGCTTGCAATAACTTTCCTTACATATGATTGTAATTGTTACTATACTGACTGTCACCTCCTAATGGCGAGTCTACTTAGTTGCGGCGTTTTATTATCTCTCCGGTCCTCGGGGACTCTATTGCGCACCCTCGCACATACACAACAGGCATTTTCTGGTGCACAATTTCATCCTCAAAGCGAAGTAGAGGTGGTGCTTGCTGTGCTGATTAAACCTTTATTTCTCTTAAGAAAAAATGCTTGTGAAATGACCTAATTAGTTTTTATTAAAAGGCCACAAATATGTAAAAAAAAAAGAATAGCGAATGTTTTAGTACAGAGCTTTGGACATTTGTCGATGTTATTCTGGGGCAATTAGAACACGGATCGAGCACTGTACTTGACACGTATACGAATTTGTGATTGATTCTTTGCTCTGTGTGTTTTGATTGTGTCTCAAGGGCTCAATAAATGTGAACTAAAGTGCCAAATGACTAATAACAAGGTTGTGAAGATCCATATTTTTTTAAATAATGTTTGGATATTTCTTTTGCAAAATATATTTGCTTCCTGAAATTTTTCCCTGAAACACAGATGCTCACAAGCCTGAACCCATTGTCACACGCTCCAGAACAACATCCTGAGTCAGACAGTCGTTAACCTCGCCTTTCAAGAGCGCTGCCGCATGTTTAAGAGAGACAATTTGCTTGAGTCGCGGAAGCAATCGGCTGCCACACTTTAGTCATTTTGGCCTTCTTTGGACTTCTCAAATTGATCCGGCTGTAGATATCTAAGCACTTAAGCACCGTTTATTGGACCAGCAACTCACCATTCCAACTTTCAATTTTTTCGTTCGTAGACCTCACAGGAATTGCCTATATGCATAACTTTGTTTCTGTGACTGCCTTGGGTCTTAAAAGCTATCTATTTACAGTTGAGGAGATCGCCAACCTATGCGTCCGGTGCACATCCTGTGGATCTCAGGTTAATCATCATCGCAAGAGCAAGTTTTACAAGCACAAGCTTCTAAGCGTAATTGTTTGTAAGGTAAGTATCATGAAGTATTATACACGTAAAGCTTATGAATTAGAGGCCTTAGGTGCTGTTTTTTTTAGTGTAGAATATTTTTACTTGGAAGAAGGTAAAGTAACTGTGAGAAGAAAACAAATTTAGTGTAAAATTTGCAGCCCTACCTCTTCAATAAATAAAACAACATATAAGAATTTCACAGACTATAATGAACTTCATCAGTGTACTTTTCGTTGCTCTTAAATTGTGACAATTTTCCGAGTTGGATTTGGTGAAGTCGTTGCAGCCATTGCATCTGTTTCACATAATTTTATTGTCCTTGTTTCCCCGCTTCATTAAGGTTTAAAAGCTGCAGTCTACAGAAGTGCAGTGTATCTTGATCTTCAGGCAAAGTAGCAGATATAGAAACAATCAGACTTCGTCTTTACTTATCTCCGGGATTAGTACTACGCTTCTTGCACATAGGAATTCAAAAGTAATGCTAAAAACAAGCTGGAAAGCAGGGACCATCACTTGCAAGTGAGCTTATTATAAAGAGCCTCATGAGAAAAAACTTGAGCATTTGTGTGCAAAGACAGCCGTCAAATTTTTAAATGTGAAGCATTTCTTAGCAAACTTCGGCGACTTTGAGTGTATCTATCTAGCCGCCTACGACTTTTAGCTCTCCTGGCCGTTTCGATAATGGTATCTACACCAAACTTGATTTGGCATAACATGACTGTATGAAGAAAATATCTGATTAGTCGTTACATGAACATTATGACATGAATGTCATGATTTACATTTCATGGTGCTGCAGCTACATTTACATTTCATGGTGGTTTCGTTTACATGGCATGTTGCAAAACTGGTAAGGTATGGCATGATTGCATGGTGAACAAAAGGGACAGATACTAACATGAAATTCATGACATGCGTGTCTTGTAACAACATGACTACATGCCACGCTCATGAAGCGCTGGCAGCCGTTTCGCTAACTTCACTTATACCAAATTTAATATGACGGGACGCAAACGGACGACATAGGTAAATGACACATCCAAACATGATAATCATGACATGCATGTCATGTAACAACATTACTACATGCCACACTAATGATGGGTTCGCGGCCGTTTCGCTAGCTTCACATATGTCAAATTTGGTATTACGTGACGCCAATGGATGATGAATGTAAGTGACTGGTGCAAACATGATAATTATGAGATGCATGTCATGTGAGAACATGACTACATTCCACAGTCAAGGCGCCAATACATTTCGACGTGACACGGTGCGCACGCTCACCGGCGTTGCCATGCCAGGCGCCGGTTCTGCCCTATACTCCCATGTGTGCACCGCTCTGCATTGCTTTGACGCATGCGTATTTCAGTGCGTCCGGCATCCCTCCATCACGAAAAGAGGGAGACGCAGTGTTGTCTGGGTAACGCATCGGAGCTCGCATGTTGCTAACGTATACCGTCGCTGTGCCAAGTGTGCGTGCCTGTCAACGCTACATTGGAATATATTGGGCTCTTCATGACGCCTTCACGGTCGTTTTGCTAGCTGACCAAATTGGGTGTTACGTGACGTCAATGGATGACGAAATATATGACTGGTACAAACATGATAGTCCTGCACACGTGTCATGTAAGAACATGACAACATAACACACCCATAGCGTGCTCGCAGTCGTTTCGCTAGGTCCACATATACTAAATTTGGTATCACGCGATGTGAATAGATGACGAAGGTAAACGACACATCCAAACATGATAATCATGACGCGGAAGTCATGTACGGCATCATTTATGTCCACCTTGTAACATTGTGCTGATTTCTAAGTATCATATCAACATTTATCAATCGTGCTTCGCATATCATCGGTTCCCCCTGTACGTGGCATTGCCAATTTTGTTATTTCTTTTTCTCTCAAAAATAGGATATAGTAAACACACTCACATCACGAGGATATTAAGAGTGCAAGTGCAGGTACAAAGATGAAAAGCTTCTACTACAGAACGTGCACTTTCTACGTAATTAAACTCAGTGGCAGAGCAGCGTCTTCACTGTTCACTATCATTCTTTCACCACCTTTTCTGTACTCAACATATCAACATTTCTCAATCGTGATTTGCATGTCGTCGATTCCCCCTGTACGTGGCATCTGCCAATTTTGTTATTTTTTGATTGATTGATATGCGGATTTAATGTCTCAAAACCACCATATCATTATGAGAGACGCCGTAGTAGAGGGCTTCGGAAATTTCGACCACCCGAGGTTCTTTAACGTGCACCCAAATCTGAGCACACGGGCCTACAACATTTCCGCCTCCATCGGAAATGCAGCCGCCGCAGCCGGGATTCGAACCCGCGACCTGCGGGTCAGCAGCCGAGTACTTTAGCCACTAGACCACCATGGCGGGGCAAAGTTTTTTTAATTTCTTTTTTTCTAAAAAAATAGGATATAGTAAACACTCTCACATCACTAGGAAAGTGAGAGCGCAAGTGCAGGTACAAAGATCCAAAGTTTCTAGTACAGAACGTGCACTTTCTTCGTAATTAAACTCAGTGTCAGAGCAGCGTTTTCTCTGTTCACTATCATTCTTTCACCACCTTTTCTGTGCTCCCCTTTGCAAAATGCCGAGCCAACTAGCGTAACCCAAAAATTAACAATTCTCAATATTATGCTTTCTGCATATACTGTTAGATCTGCTTATAACAACCCTCCGTATAATGAACCTCCTCATAATGAATTCCTCAATATAATGAAGTTATTCTATTCCTCGTCGTTACTTCATAGAAGTGCATGTATTTGCGACCTCTTTGTAACAAAGTAACAGCGGGAGACGACCCTGATATAACAAATTTTCGCCACGGACAATCTAAGAATTTTTTCCCGGATTTTGTCATTTTGGCACGAGCATACCGCCGACGATGCGCGAACCAGTGGCAGCACTTTTTGTCGCCTTGTGACTCCCACGCAAAAGTGAGTGCTCGTTACTGGGCACGGACGTGCGCGACGCGGACAGGCAGGCCTGCTTCCCATTAGCCGGCGTTGCCGTCGTTCTTGCCGGTGCGGGTGCATGCATGGAAATGCCTTCTCCCTTCAAACCAAAAAAAAAGAAAAGTATACTTTGGCGTTGGCATTGCTACACCTTTAGCTAGCGTCACATATGTGGAGCCGCGCTGAATATGGAGGACGCTTTACCAAACAGTTTTCTACGGTTCGTATCAATCGCTCTTTGCATTTGATGCGATGTGCGCATGCATAGTTTCACTGCGCGCGCATGGTGTGGCCTTTGACGACGTTCAGATTTTTTTTTTTTTTTAATGAGGACTACTGTGTCGTCACTACCTAAGAGATGTCTATCCCGGCTGCGGCGGCTGCATTTCCGATGGAGGCGGAAATGTTGTAGGCCCGTGTGCTCAGATTTGGGTGCACGTTAAAGAACCCCAGGTGGTCAAAATTTCCGGAGCCCTTCACTACAGCGTCTCTCATAATCATATGGTGGTTTTGAGACGTTAAACCCCACAAATCAATCAATCAATCAATTACCTAAGGGATGTCAGATTAGGCGCGTATAAAATCTCTCCGAAAGCACAGTGGCAACGACGGCTCTTTAAAGGTCGACTCCTTAGGCGTTTGCGTTTGTGCCACGAGTTCGAGGGACTGTAGCTTTCACAATTAGCCGATTAGCTCTGGGAACAACACGACAGTGCATTTAATGCAATGCAATGAATGCGAGAGCAACAAATTCTGTTATATGAAGTGAGGCTGGCAGCCAACTCTTTTGGATCCGATGTCGTGGAACTTCTACAAAATGCTGGTGTAAAGCGAACACGGTCGCTCCAGGGAGAAAAGCTCTTTCCACACAGTCTCTTCACGTTCACTGATGCTGCGCTGATGCTCGCCGAGATACGCACGCCAGCAATCGCGACTGTGCCCTTAAAAGTTCTCCGTTGCTACTCTAGCGACACCCCCATGCCTCCCCGGGTTTCTTCATGCTCGTTCAATACGGGTTGTTTTCTTTATGTTTGAGCATTCGACAGCAGTTTTAACATGCGGGGGGGATGTTATTGTTTGCACCCTCCAGTCTGTCATTAGTATATGACAAAATATCAAGAGGACGACGAAGGGATGCATGTTTGATTTGAATAACGTTTGTTAAATTTGAAGTGAATTTAGAAAAGAGGAAGACGAAGGAGAGAAAAAAGAGGCACGAGCGACGAAGTGGCCGAGACAGATGGTGGTGCGTGACCCTAGCGGCGATTTGCGTGCTAGCAGCGATGAGCTGGCATTGTCCACGTGGGCTTCGCAAGAGAAGGTTGCATCGCCAGGGAATTCACTGGCAACGGGAGCGGCAGGACAGGGACTTGGCAACATGTTATGCAGGCGTCCCGAGAGAAAGAAGGAGACCTCAACAAGCTTCGAGGGAGGCTACTTGGGATGCAGTCGCCGCACACAAGCGCCGATATTCCTGGCGCAAACCGCTTTTAAAGCAAGCCGCTGAAGACTGTCCCTGGGTGGCCACGTCACCTTGCAGCACCGGGTATCGTCAGCGGCTGCTAGGCCCAACCACCGACATCAGGCAACGACGTCTACGGGCGACCACTTCGGAAGCGGCACGAACGGTGACATTCCTAGAGAAGGCTGAGAACTCCGACAAGGACACGACCAATCCGGACATTAACAAGCAGCGCATGTCAGTTGTGACAAGTAAGATGACGAGAAGGACCATGAAAAGCACTAAGACTGAAGAGATGTCCGTCAATAGTTAGGACAGTCCAGTCTGCAAAGGAATTAGTTTGGAGGTTTACTTTGGCAGTTATTACTCTTGGTTTTGTACATTTGTGGTATATAGAGGGTGTGTCGTGTGTGAGTGTTTATTAAATGTGGTGTGTTGTTAATGGAGTCATGTCTCAGTTCATCGCCCGCAGCAGCAGCCCTGGTAATCCGTGACACAGGCAATAGAGATGGGCTAGCTCATTTGATCTCTGCTTCAGCAGCGCTCGCACTATTTTATCCGCTCGTAAAAGTCACGATGCGCTAGGGCATGTCATCAATTTCGACTTGGTACTGAGCATGGCGGCGACAGTAAAAACCTGCATAGAGTGCCCATATAATGCAGTTTCTTACTGCTAAATAAGTGTTCTGGGTTAATTCTGCCTTCAGTTCCCCTCTTATTTAATCTGTAAATTTATTTTTCAAATTTTTATACTGAACCTGCATATAACAAAGTTCTTTTTATAACGACTTCTCTGTTATTTTTGTTTATCCAGTTTTAACTGTAGTAGGAAGCAGAGTTTTTTTCATAATAAATAAAAAAATCCTTTCATGGAAATCATTTACAATCGTGCAGTGAATCATTTTTGGGTTTCAGCCCCGTCTAGTGGCTAAGGTACTCGGCTACTGACCCGCAGGTCACGGGCTCGAATCCCGGCTGTGGCGGCTGCATTTTTGATGGAGGCGGAAATGTTGTAGGCCCGTGTGCTGAGATTTGGGTGCACGTTAAAGAACCCCAGGTGGTCGAAATTTCCGGAGCCCTCCACTACGGCCTCTCTCATAATCGTATGGTGGTTTTGGGACGTTAAACCTCACATATCAATCTATCAATCATTTCTGTGTTTCGCATACAATTTGAATAAAGAATCTAAGTTGGCTCATTTAAACGTCTATTTATTTAACATGAGAAGACAAATATGGGTGCATTGTTGGCGACGTACATTCAAACCTTGATATAACGAACCTAGATATAATGATATATCAGTTATAACGAAGTAAGTGAATAATAGTCTAGCAATAGATATAGTTTTAATAATAAACCTTTATAACGAATTTTTGAATATAACGAACTTATCTCCATGTAAGATGTAACTTTGTCATAATGTGGTTTGAGTGTATATAAGTCTGTATGTGCTTTGCTGTCCAATGGTGTTGGAGGTTGTGTTTTGTCACTTTTACAGTCCTTTTTGGTTTTTCCGGCTCATACACTGTTTTCATTCGGCACTAACTTTTGTGCCAAAGTTGCCGTGCCTCGCTTCATCAAAGGGGCTTTACATTTACTTTGGCATGGTTACAGTTAGGATGTTGCCAAAACCGAATACGTCCCACTATGTTGTGCACCTTCGTTATCATTTTCTTCCACCATTCTTTCACACAGAGGGTGGAACAGAGAAGTATGAGCAGACAAAAGTCTTTATTTTAATTTTACCACTATTCAGGCAACATCTTAATCTTCTTGACTATCTTTAGTGCACAAAATTTTTAAAGCATTATCACATTGACCAATGTTACTACATAGAAAAACCATAACCATGGAACCTGAAGTCTATCTTTATACTCGTGAGGGCATTTTAATCTCCAAGCGGCCACTGCAGAAGTGAACTAGCAAAGTTTCCACCTCCAGCATGTGGGGGTTCTGGGTTTGAGTGCCAGCGCCACTGAGCCGGCACCCACCTGTTTTTATAAGGGGCAACAGGTACCTCAGCTTGGTGCCCCTTGCTACTCGGGTACTGATCCCGAGAAAAAACCTCTTCTTTTCGCAACCGCCTAACTATTAGTCTCTCCGACTTCGCCCACAACGCCGTGTCATTCTCCCCGATGAAATGCGAAAATTAGTATCTTTCCTAACCTCAAACCACTCTTTCTCCCATAATAAATGCGCATTTTTATTTAACATGTCAAGCCACTTAATTAGCGAGAGCGATCAAACGTCTGGTAATTCAGATGTGTTTGAAAATCTGAGCACCAATATGTATGTCTTTATGGTCCTGTATCATCATCATCATCATCATCATCATAATCATCATCATCATCATCATCAGCCTGACCACGTCCACTGCAGGATAAAGTCCTCTCCCATGTTCCGCCAGTTAACCCTATGGTCCTGTATACCTTCATAATTTCAATCTCGATGGGGGTCCAGGAATTTTAGTAAGAAATTTGGACAGTGTGTACAGTTGAGCCCCTTTATAAGAGACACTGATAAGAGACACCAGTGTGCCTGCAGTAAAATACGGGTTGATAGGAAAGTGCATATGAGGTATAAAAGGTTTATACATACGAGGTTTATACATCTCGTATAAAAGACGAGAATGGCTGCTTGGAGCATGCTTCTTATAAAGGGGTTTAACTGGTTTGCCCCTAAAAAAGTGTGCAGTTTAATGAGTATAAAAAATTTTACATGTTTTCACATGATGACGATGATGTGGGATCACAGTCACTACTGTTAGCTTATTAAGGGTAGATGCTACTTGAAAAGAAGAGTTTCTTTAATCTGCAGCCTAGCGAAATGAAAGTTTTGCTGTATGCATAAGCTTTTATGCTCATTTCAAATATGTAATGAGTTTATGTTAAGTTTCATAGTTTTTGTTTTGTACCATGGCAATGTGTAAAATATAGTTCTTTTTGGACGCACTGTTCCCACCATCAAATTTGTATGTTTCTGAGTCATTAATGGCTCATATTGCTCCACATGAACCGTAAAATGTAAAAATAATAAGAAAGTATGTATGAGACATTTTATTGATAAACAAAATTGAGATGTGAGAAGTCCCAGAATGCTCAGACCATACTAATTACTTACTTTAGGTTCGTAATAATTACATAGTCCATATCAAACTTCAAAGGAAATGCCTGCCCTGCTCAAATAATAAGGAATATGGGGGCAAAATTTAATCACCATATGGCTATCAGAAGTGCCAGAAACATAATGCCAAACTGAAAAAGCTGCCTAAAATTGTATCTTGAGAGAAACACATTTTAAAGGTATAAATGAAAGCTCGTCTGTGCAGCAAAGATATGTTTTTTAAAAAGATTTTTTCGGTCATGAGAGCTTGGGAAGTATTGTTATTTTGAGCATATGGCTTTGGTGAACTGCTCATGTGAAATACAATGGAAGTAGCCTGGTGACAATTTTCAGGGGACTCTAGACAATGAGTTCTTTTTAGTTTTAGTAGCTACTTTGTGCTCTTTAAAAGTAATTTTAACCTGCTTCGAGTTTACATTGTTCAATACATTGTTCAATTACATTGTTCAATATCTTGCTGTGTAACTAAAAAAAAATTAAACTTGTGAAAGCAGATAAAAACAAAAGAATATGTACTTTTGGACCTGTCAAAAATGAGTTTTTGGAAAAGAACTCATTTTTTGACTTGCATTTCCCCTTAACAGGGGATTTGCACATTATTTTGTTACAGTAGGCTCTCACCGAACGGAACCTGAAGAGACTAGAAAAAGTGTACTCGGCTTAACAGGAGCTTTATTTACCAATATGAACAGAGGTGCACCATTATGTACGAAATCAATCATATCAGGTGTAGCAGTTACGTTTTGCAGATTTTCGTTTACTGGAAATCTACTGTATTTTTTTTTAAATGCTGCCGGGCTGCTTTGTCCATATCTTTACTCTCTGGAATGTATCGTTTCAGCGGTGCTACCAGTATTATGGTGATGGCCAGTTTCGGCAGCCAGGAGCTGATAGTGACGAGTACTGCAGTTGGTGTGCGGAAGGTGGTATCCTGATTTTGTGCGACCGCTGTGGCCGTGTTTTCTGCAAAGAGTGCATAAGCTGGAACTTCTCCTGCCAAGAGCTGAATCGCATCGAATCACTGGACGAGTGGCAGTGTTTCGTGTGTGATCCAGCTCCACTTGAACCTATGGTGAACTATGCCAGCGTGATCACTGACTACAGTCGACACCTGAAGAAGCAGAGGCCCTCCTCAAGCTCTCGTAGCGAGAAGCCGAAACTTTCCGAAGCTGACATGAGGAAGCTGGTGCTCGATAAGGCGAGAGAAATCAAGCATTCCCTTTCAGAGCTAGCCAAACGACCAGAAGGGTTCCTTGCAGAAGCAAGCAAGCTGCTTCGCGACCATGCCAGTGCTTTGTCTTGCTTAGCTGAAAATGTGGAAACCTGTCAGAGGCAGCAGCTGAGGTCTGTAAAACGTGCCAGCAGAAACAAGCACGGTAAAGACAGTTACCATGAGGCTTCACCGTCAATGTGCTCTCAGCCAGGTGTCATTGCAACAACTGGGGATGAAAGGGTAATTGCAATTGGTGGAGAGCAGCATATCGGCGGACCTGAAGGAGACAACTCGACAGATATGCAAGTTCAAGGGAGGAGTGAGCTATGCTCTCAGGATAAAACCAATGGTCCAGATGTTAATGCCGCTACTCATATGATAGGTGTGCCAAGCAATTAAGAAAGAAATCAACAGTCCGGAAGCTAGCTTCAGGCACGAAGTACCGGACGAATCTACAATCAAGACAGAAATCAACATTGCAGAATTTAGCTCTCAAACTGAAATGCTGAATGTGTCTGAAATTAAGGTGGAACCAGGCATGGATAGATGTTCTATACATTCTGTTGCAGGAAATGACGATAGTGACATTTGTGGAAGCCTGAACGGCCCACTAATCAACTCCGATGGGGAATTGTCATCTTTGGCTGCAGATATCAAATGTGAAGATGTTTCCAAGAACCTCACTACGGGTATCCCCATGGAGAGCACTAGTGAGCACTGCAGCATGACTTTCAAGAATGAGGACAAGGATACTGCTTCTGAAGTAGAAAACATTGAGGAAATTCCACCGAGTGGAAATGCTTCCTCATTTGTGGATGAGCTGAGTGCTTCTTCAAGCGACAGCGATTTTGACTGTGGCAAAAAGTCCTCAGCCTATAACTTTGTTAGGGAAGTCAAATCTGGCAGCAAACTACCTTCTTCGGAAGAGGAAAGTGAGACAAGTGAGAGTTCTGAAACCGTTGAAGAGTGGGAGCAAACGACTCGGTGTGCAACTCGTAGGCGGCCTAACGATAGCAAGAAGAGGCACTCCAGAGTCAGCAGATCTGCCAGAGCAAAACGCCCGAGGAGGTCTAGTTGGCTCGCGAGTGATTCCAGTGGCTCTTCGAGTGACACCAGTGATTTCTCGGGTGAAGATGACGAATGGTGCGATTCATCGCGGAGAAGACCTCAAGCTCGTAAACGCAAGATTCCTACGAAAAAGAAGTGTGCTTATCGAGCTCCACCTCCTTTGTCGGAAGAAGTCCTCAAGAGATATCTGGACGAGGCGTTTGAGAGGTATCAGGATCCAAAGCTCACAATGCGTGTAACTGTGGATGTGGAACGCCTTGAGGTCGATCATTCACAGTATGCTCCAATGAGAACGACATACGAGACAGATGAGTGGAGTGGTGTGGAGGAACTTGAGGATGCTTTCAACACTGCAAAGACACGTAAGTTCAACCTGCCTTTAAAGTGTATTTAAAAAATAATGTCAGTAGCTTTTGTCGCGCTTTTTCTTCCTGTACTGCTTTAGTGCATGTGGATTGAGCTGCTCATCAAAATTTGAAGATCACTTAACCTAGTTCAAGTTCCCTACTCATGTAGTATAGAGCGTATTTCTCATATCTGCATTCAGAAGAGTTTAGTTGCTTAGTGTGCGCTGTTGGGAGCTCTAATTGAATCGATGGGGGCCATTACGTATCATCCTTGCGGCTTTTTAGCATTCTGTGTCATTTTTTACACAAATGTTGTATGGTGAACCACTTTCGACCTGCAGTGTCATTACAGCATGTCTTCATTTTAAATGTCTTCAAAATTTCTGTTTCCTCCTTTTTCTTGCAACTGGACTATATTTCTAATTTTTTAAAAATTTCAACATACTGCAGACTCAAAGTGTTATCGTGGAAGTAAAGGTAGAAAATAGAAAAATTGCATAACAACGCAAAATGTACTGGAAATGGAAGATCACTGTTTAGTTATGTTGCTTTCAAGGCTGCCTTGCGGCATAAGTACACCCTCATAATCTTGAACTCCGATATCCCGAAAGCTGACCTAAATTGAATACCTTTTGTTTTCACATTGCCAGTCTCATGTTCTAGTTTTTTCACTCCTTATTTTGAAGAAAAGCTTTTTTACCAAACTTATGCAGTTTAGAAGTAAAAAAATGTTCCTGATTGGAGGTTTTCATACTTTGTGAGTGGCTCAACATCACTAAAGACCGAAAGTGCACTTGTGCACTAGCGGGAACTTTTGATGAATAGCTTCAGCAAATTTGGGCACGTGCTACACGGTTGCTCTAGACTTGGAGTGTCCTAGTTGGTTGTGCTGAGTTACACAGTCTTGTGAAGGAAAGACTCTGATGTCGCTACTAACGAAGGATGCTTCTGCACTTTTCATTGTATCTGCCAAGGTCTTGTCGGAGAGAACAATTGGTTCTCGCAGCTTCTGATGCTGTCTACTGCATTAATGAAGAAATTGGCTGGTCCCTTCTCATAAGGTGTTCAATAGCACTCCCAACAAACTTGCCCTCTTTTACGAAAGAGAAAAACGAGAGCAAAAAAAAAAAAAAACATTGCCGAGTTTTCTTAGGGAGTTGTTAAAGTGATACGTAAATGTAGAGTTTTACCTTAGGAAAACCTATGGTTGCAGCCGTCTATGGAGCATTGTTTTCAAGTGGCATCTGTGCGGCATCCTTCTCATTTTTGGTGTTCATCAATGTCTTGAATGACCCAACAAAAGGCCCCTTTTGTGATCATTGAAGCATATGTTTGGCATTAATCTTTTGTGAAATTTTTCCCGACGTGTACAAACTCCATGCAGACCTTTCATGCTCTTCTATAGATGGCAATTATATCACAATCACGAATTTTTTTTCATAGGCCTCATACAGAGCGATCTCCTTTTATATATTTTTTTGCCAATGGAGCAGTATATTCTTATAGATGAAATATATTCATATTCTGCAAGCGTGGCTCTGTAGCACACTCAGTAAGACAGATGGCTTCTTAGTGTAAGTACGTAGATTCAAAAGCTCATCACTGCCAATAAAAATTTATTGTGTTTTCTACCTTTATTTTTTTAAAGAAATTCGTCTTACGTGGCATAGGGACAAACTTGCAGTTTTCTCATGAAATTGACATAGAAATACTTGAAAGAAGAAAAATTTTATTAATAGTTTCAGTGAAGTTAATTTGGGACGGGCTTCAGCTCCAGCCTAGGCATCGGCCACGAGCCCTTAGGCTCGGGCTGCTCTTGGCTAGCAGGATGGCCCACAATTGTTCTAATATGGAGCTGAAAAGAGCCTCCTCCCAGTGGGCCCTGCAGTTTGAGACTGCCTTTTCATGGTTTTGTATGCTTTGTCATGTAAACTTGAGCATTCCCATAGTACATGGGCAAGTGTTAGTAGTAGTAGGGCAGTAGTTAACATAATAATATGTGGGGTTGAATGTCCCAGAACCGCCATATGGTTATGAGAGACGCCGTAGTGGAGGGCTCTGGAAATTTCGGCTACCTGGGGTTCTTAAACGTGCACCCAAATCTGAGCACACGGTTCTACAGCATTTTTGCCTCCATCGAAAATGCAGCCGCCGCAGCCGGGATTCGATCCCGCGACCTATGGGTCAGCAGCCGAGTACCTTAGCCACTAGACCACCGCGACGAGGTGGTAGGGCAGTAGTTAGTAGTGTCAGTTTCTTTGGCTTCCGCAAATTCCTTTGATGCTGAGCATCTGCTCTTACACAGGAGTCAATTATTACATCAATCTTACATAGTAGTCTCAAAGGTGAACATACTCAGCATACTTGGCTGGGCTAGAATTTATACAAATAAAATAAGCTCTCCAGCCACTTATAGTCCGAAGTTTCTAAAGTTAAAATTTAAAAATTAAAAACTGACCCAGTGTTTCAATACCGATTCGGTCCCTTCTTCAGGGGTACTGTTTGACCAGCTCTGAAGCTAGCAAATTTTGCTGGTGTTCCCCTCTCAATCTTCCTTCTTCCTGCCATCAAGCACATTGTCTTGGCGCAGTACCTGTAACACTGTTGCCCATATGCTAAGCTCGATGATGTGTGTTTTATTTGTGGTCATGGCGGCCACATTTTGACAGGGGTAAAATGCAAAAAAAAAAAAAAAACACCCGTTAACTTAGATTTACGTGCACGTTATAGAACCCCAGCTACTCATAATTTTGGGAGCCCCCCCCCCTCCTCACTGCATTGTCTTCGTAATCATATTGTGGTTTTGGGATGAGTAACCTCGAGAAATATTATTACTATTATTATTATTATTATTATTATTACTGTTGCCTGCAGGCATCAAAATGTTTAGTGCCAAGATACACAACTGATAGGGAACGTTACAGGTTTCATTCTGTAAAGGCTTCATGTGATCATTCAAAGGGCTTACATTTTCGTTGTTTCGTTTATAGACTCTTGACCTAATCTTATTTGTTCTCTATGCCCTCAAGTTGACAGAGTTTCAGAAGTAAAGTCGTGTTAGGGCACCAAAGAAATTTTGGTTTTTCTTTTTGTTCACCAGTGTTCTTTATTGTCTTCATGATATTACTCACCGACAAATATATTGTGTGCAGGGTCGTATGATTCAAGTAATGACGGTGATGATAAAGAAGTTGAGGTATCGCCAACAAAGGTAATTTCCTGCTTTATTGTCTGTGTAACACTTTCTTTAAATTGGTTAATTTCAACAATACGGGATGGGTGTATGTTGCAAAGGAATACTGCTAAGTGGAAAAAAAAATGGGCAAAACGAGTTGTGCTTAAATTTATGTTGTACGTTTCAAAAATAATAAATACTATGAGGAAGAGCTTTATTCGAGGCGAGCTTGAATTGGCACACCTGTTGCGTATCAATATCTACAGATGAGGAAATTATACAAATGAATGATGAAACGTCCAATCGATAAAGAAGAGTCGGTGACTGCGCTCAGCACTAATTACCCGTCACGATGGAAGCGGCCTCCTGGCCGCGAGAGAGACAATATTAGGAATTGCGTCGGGTGTACAGTTTCAGCCGAGAAACGTGCACAATTTCTGTCCCACGGCAACTGGTGGTCGGAGGGAGCGTTAAGTGGTGAGATACGGTAATTAACGGGGGACGTTTGTTCAATCGCCGTAAAATGGCCCTATAAAACGACTGAGGAATTTTCACATAAGCCGGGCACACGCACAGAAGTCCACAGAAGAACTTTGTCTTCTGGGAAAAGGTGACAGCACGGTGTGTTAAGTCGTAGCGAGACTTGCGAGCTTCCTAAGAATGCCGGTGTTGATTCGGGCCAGATGACTGCAGTGCTCGAGGCGAGACAGAAATTGTGTGGATAAAGGGCTTGCTGAGGTAGCATGAGCCGAAAGGAAGGAGACGTCCAGAGTTACACTTGGAGAGCGGCCATGAACCAGAAAATAGGAAGAAAAGCCGGTGGTGCGTTGCGTAGCTGTGTTGTAGGCAAACGCTACGAATAACAAAATGGCGTCCCAGTTCGTGTGGTCAGGGTTAACGTACATGGCAATCATGTCCGAGAGGGTACGATGAAAGCGTTCCGTCAAGCCATTTGTTTGAGGATGATAAGTAGAAGTTGTTTTGTGGATGGTGTTGGCGGCGCGTAGAACCTCAGCAACAATAGAGGAAAGAAAGACCTTGCCGCGGTCACTGAGCAGAACACGTGGAGCTCCATGGCGTAAAAATATGTTACGCAGAAAAAAATCAGCTACTTCAGTGGCTGTACCAGCATGCAGTGAAGCAGTTTCCGCGTAACGAGTGAGGTGATCAATAGCCGTTATAATCCAACTATTTCCATTGGAGGTCACGGGAAGGGGGCCGTACAAGTCTATCCCCACGACTTCGAATGGCAAAGTGGGACAAGGAAAAGCTTCGAGAAAGCCAGATGGTGCAGTAGTGGGTCGTTTCCGCCGTTGACATAAGGCACACGAAGAAACATATTTGGCAATCGCGGATGAGAGGCTAGGCCAGGTGAACCGACTGCGTATTTTGTCGTACGTTTTGTGATAGCCGAGATGCCCAGCAGCAGGATCATCGTGGAATGTCTCAAGAACCTGACGTTGTAGACAACGTGGTATAACGGGGACCCATTTGTTTCCTTCAACGTGGTAAATATAGCGATGTAAAACACCATCGTGAAGCTTGAATTGTTTCAGTTGTCGGCGAAGTCGGGCATTCGGAGGAGCGGATGTACCTTCTAAGCGTGCTATTATGGAGCGGCACTGGGGGTCAACGCGTTGATGCGACACAAGGGTAGAAGGGCGGCCGGATCTTAGCCAACTGAGACCTGCGATGGGTAATGCTGCGGTGGAAATTGGTGACGGTGGGCTATTACGGTTGAGCTAGAGGGCTGCGAGAGAAAGCATCAGCATCTTGGTGCTTCTTACCAGACCTGTAGACGACATCAAAGTTGTGCTCTTGTAAACGAAGCACCCAGCGGCCAAGACGACCCGATAAGTTCTTTAGCGACGAAAGCCAGCACAATGCGTTGTGGTCGGTGACGACTGTGAAGTGGCGACCATGGAGGTATGGACGAAATTTTTGTAACGTCCATACAACAGCAAGGCACTCTTGTTCGGTTATTGTATAATTTTTCTCGGCAGCAGTCAAAGCACGACTGGCGTAAGCGATGACACGTTCGCGTGCAGTGTTGTCACGCTGCAGTAGAGCGGCACCGAGACCATGACCACTGGCGTCAGTGTGAAGAATTGTGGGTGCACCTGGATCGAAATGACATAGTACCGGGTCGGATGTCAGGGATTGCTTCAACGCCAGGAAAGCCTTTTCACAGTCTTCGGACCAGACGAATGCCGTGTTACTTGCGAGCAGTTGATGGAGCGTAGAGGCAAGCCTTGCGAAATTGCGTATGAAGCGCCGAAAGTAGGATGCCAAGCCGAGAAAACTGCGCAGGTCTTTTTGACGCAACGGACGTGGAAACTCGAGGACGGCAGCAAGCTTTTTAGGATCCGGTCGAATACCGTCTTTGCTGACTAAGTGCCCTGGAACCTTGATCGTCTTGCTTGCGAAGGTGCATTTTTTCGTATTCAGCTGTAAACCAGCTTTTGCAAGGCAACCTAGGACTTCTTCGAGACGTTGTAGATGTTGCGAAAAGGTAGACGACAACACTATGATGTCGTCTAGGTAGCATAAGCAGGTTTTCCACTTCAGGCCACGCAGTACGCTGTCAATCATACGTTCGAAGGTAGCAGGCGCGTTACAAAGTCCGAAAAACATTACATTAAATTCATACAGCCCATCTGGGGTGGTAAAAGCCGTCTTCTCTTTGTCAGATTCGGACACTGGTATTTGCCAGTAGCCCGATCGCAGGTCAAGGCTCGAAAAATACTCTGTGCCATGCAACGAATCTAATGCGTCATCAATTCGTGGGAAAGGGTAAACATCTTTGCGCGTTATTTTGTTCAGTGCCCGGTAATCAACGCAAAAACGTACCGTTCCATCTTTCTTTTGCACCAACACAACTGGCGAAGACCACGGACTCGAGCAAGGACGTATGATAGTTCGTCGAGGCATGTCTGATACGTTTTCCTCGATTATCTTCCTTTCTGCGAGAGACACGCGGTATGGGCGCCGGTGAATTATTCAGGAGCCGTCAGTCTGAATTCGGTGAGTCGCAGAAGTTGTCATACCAAGGACAGCGGAATGAACATCAAAGGGCGATGTCTGTTCAATAAATTCAGCAATTCTTGACTCTGGACTGCTGTCAAATCAGGGCTTATCGTCACCGATAGAGGAGTGGGAGAGTTGAGTAGCGGCGTGCTTGGCTCTGGTAAATCTTCTTGACTTGGAAGGGCAACAATCGCAACGGGATGCGGGTCAGTAGCGCATGTGACTGTTGATCCACAGGGCAACAATAAGGGTTTGGGGGTCTGATTTAACGCAGTAATAAAAGCAGACCCTTCAGAAAAACGAACAAGGCGTAAATGAATACCTTGATGTACCGTGTGGCCATAAGGTAGTAGAAGCACGTCGCCATCCACAATGTTGCTGCAATCGATGCTAATTACTTCTTCTCGGGATGGCCAAAGAACATAATCTGAAGTGGAGACGAGACAAATGCGTTGTTCGGGTTCTGATACAGAAGAGTCCGGTGGGATTGAGGTGGATGAGGCGCTGACAACCAGATATAGAAGCCCGTGCAGACGACAGAAAATCCCACCCCAAAATGAGTTCGTGGGTGCACTCACGGAGAACTGCAACAGCGATATGATGACGAATACTGTCTATGAAAACACGAACTGTACACTGGGCGAGTGGACGACAAATGGCGTTCGTCGCAACACGGAGAGACGAGCCCGAGTAAGGTGTTGTTACTTTGCGGAGACGGGAGCAAAGGTCAGAGCGAATAATGGAAATAGCAGCGCCAGTATCCACTAGAGCTTCGACGCGTATACCTTCGACTAACACTGTTAACAAGTTCGATGGTCTGTCTGGAGGGATTGCTGGATGTCTGGTGGGTGTAGTTTCCCCTCCTAAAACTGCATTGGGGTGTTTTTCCGAGTGGGCATTCAGAATATTGGAGGCGGGTCGCAGAGGTGACACGGAACGGCGACTGGGAGATGGTGAGCGGCGGCGAGACTCATGGGAGTTCACAGGCAGACCACTACTGTAAGGTGGAGAGGGCGAACGCTGAAAAGAGACCAGTAAGGCGTGCGCTGGTAGTTGGTGAGTGGACTGAAGCGTCCGCGTTCCTCCGGAGCGTAGCCACGTTGCTCGTCCTGTTGATGCCTTCGGAAAAAGCGAGATGTATGACCCCTATAGCCGCAATAATAACAGATTGGGCGTTGAAGACGCGGCATGGCGTAATACGGCTGTGGGCGCATCAGTGGTGACACTGACGCCACAGGTACATGGCCACCTGGTGTAGCAGCTGGGATAGTAGGTGGGTGCTGAGAGCGCCGCGACTACTGCGTACGTTGGTACCTGACGAGGTCTGGATTCGGCGGAACAAGGTGAATGTGACGCAGATGCAATCTCTTGCCTAATGATGTCCCGCAAGTTGGTTGGAGCTGAGGCTAAAGTAGACGGTGGGGCGCAGGAAGAGCAGCGCCCATGAAGCTCCTCACGAACGATGTCGCGGACCAGGGCACGGATGTCGAGGGCCGCAGGAAGACGAATGTCCGAGGCATCATGGCAAAGACAAAGAGACTGTTCTTCTAGTCTCTGGCAAATGGTGACGACATCTTGAGTCGTGGTAGGGTGTTGCGACGCAAGGGCATTGAATGCGATGGTATTTATGCCTTTGATAATATGGCGTATTTGTTCGCTTTGAGGCATAGCTGAATTTACACGCTTGCACAAGGCAAGAACATCTCAATGTACGAGGTGTATGATTCACCCGCCAGCTGAATGCGTTCAGCAAACTTTTTGTTGCTGCTTCGGCGCGAACACTGGGGGAACCGAAAATCTGACGGAGCTGCCGTGTGAATGTGTCTCAGTCGGGAAGATCTTGGAGGTGGTTTCAAAACCAGGTTTTGGCAACATCAGTTAGGTAGAAAGGGACCGTACGCAACTTGTGTAGAGTATTCTACCTGTTCAACTCGCTGACCAGGTTGTAGGTGTGTAGCCATTCCCTTTGAGACCCGAGAATACTGGCGGATCACGCTGGTGGCTGTGAATGGCCAGGGTCGACGGCGGAGGCTGCACTGGGCTGGTGGTGTTGGATGGACCAGGATAGTCTAGCACTGCCATGGCAGGTGGTAGTAGACGACGACCTGAGCGAAGCTCCAGTGGTAACGTGCGAGAGGATTTGTGGATCGAGAAGCACCGTCTACCACTTATGAGGAAGAGCTTTATTCGAGGCGAGCTCGAGCTGGCACACACTGATGATGATATCTACAGATGAGCAAATTATACAAATGATGATGAAACGTCCAATCGATAAAGAAGAGTCGGTGACTGCGCTCACAATACCTTCCATTTTTTCATTAGTAGCACATAGGTAATTTTAATATTGACTAAACACTCCCATATTATATTACTATCAACATGATATTACTATCAAAGAATGAAATGTGACATTCACTTCAGTAGCACCCTTGACACTTGTCTTGGCAATGTATTATTCCTTTTATGGTGGGAAACAATTCACTACGAACCCCTGTTTCTAACTTGGAAATAAAATCGAACCCCTTTATAAGAGACACTGATACAAAAGTCAAATGGGTGCAAGAGACACCAGGGTGCAGTACAGTACAATACGGATTTGTAATAAAATGCTAGCGAGTTACCCAGCTTATAAGAGATCTGATATAACAGACAAGAATTACCGCCTATAGCATGCCTCTCATAAAAAGGTTTAACTGTAGTGCTACATCGTGAAAGACCACATGTCCAATTTCTCACTCTCAATGATGCTTTCATCTGCTGTGATGTCACGTGCATCATTTGTGGATAATACTCGGACGCACATTGTCTCTGGCACCAATCATGTCTGCACAGTTTTCAGCAATATAACTCAAAAGTACTTTTTGCTGAGGACTTTGTCATCTAAAATATCATGTGTCTGCATGACTTTCTGTTTATTTTGCTATGGAGAATGAAGCAACAAGTCTTAGGACACTCATGGCTTTTTTATGTACATGGAAGCTCAACTAAGCACTGCCATGAAAGTAGTAATAAGGTTCAGGTGACATTTACAAGTTACATAGAATGGTTCTACTATAGAACAATAGTTACTATCGTCAACTTGTTTACAGCGCAACACTAGAAACACAAGACAGGGAAGGAGCAAAAAATAAAAGAAAAGACAGAACAAGTTCACGATGGATCCCAACCCTCTGGCCCAACTTACCGTCTTACTGCAATAGTTGCTATGCTTGAGGGGCCCCTCACGTCTTAAACAACGATCTTTCCATCCCCAGAAGGGTTGTACTTCGGTGTTACCTTTCATTAGGATAAATGACAGTCTAATACTTACAATTGCTCACAAGCGCAGTCACTGTAACAAGCAGCACACTAAAGTAATGCCAAGTGGATTGCTGTAGTGCCCAAGAAGCATGGCTTGTTCATGAAATATTAAAAAGGTTTTTTTACATATACCTTTTGACTACATCCTTATTGGCTACTGTCCTGCTTTTCTTCTTTGTTAGTACTATAAATTCACGTCTTGATGAGGCAATATTTCATTCAGTTTTATCAAGTTTTGTGTTCTTTAGAAATATTTTTCAGAAATTGATACACGTTTCAGCTGGTAACATTTACACGAGACAACTGTTTCACTAGTGTTTCATCAGTGCACTGCGATACCCACACTTTTTTCAGAGTCATGTCTACACTGCTAAAAATTTAGGACCAGCAGAAGCAAACTGGTCTTACGGAACAAACTGCTTGAACACTCTGCTCACATAGCACGAGTATATTATTTCATGTTTTCTTGCATATACTTGTATAGCAAGGTCAACCAAAGGCTGCCATAGTACAGTGGTCTTCATATGAAACTGTATTCTTGTTTGCTTAAACAGAGCCAGGATGCTGATGGCAAAGGGCGCAGAAACATTCGCCGACTCATCTCAGACGAAGAGCTTGCTCAGCAGACCAAGGCAGCTGCTCAGGCCGAAGAAGAAAGAAAACGGCGCATCGCCGAAAGGCGAAAGCTGGTACGTTGCAGTAGCTAGTATTTCACTAGTTTCCGTTTCGCTTGACATTCGTGCCGGTCTTTGACTGACTATCAATACCTTCTTTCGTTTGCCGCAGTACTACGAAGTTCTGGGAACCGAAGTTGGAGAGACTCATGAGATGACGACGGAACTGGTGCTTGAAATGGACCTGCAGACAAAGGAACCCCTTGTGCGTGTTGATGAAAAGCTTGTCAAGTTCATGAAGCCTCATCAAGTGAAAGGTGATGTATCTTGCATACTTCTACATATCAAAAATATTTTTTTACGAAGCTGATTGATTTCTTTCCTTCAACTTCCAGTAGCAAGAATGGAGTTCTGGAGAGAGAGATGGCCCAAAAAGCGCATCGTAATAAGAATAAAAGTTGTCAGTGTAATGGGACGAAGTTAAGATGCGAAATTTTGTCGCATGGTTGGGACATTGAAAAAGGCAGCAGTTGTTGTGTTCAAGACTTGGCTTTTCATATGGGCAAACAACGTGCAAGCGAATTCACATTGTAAACCAACAGCAGCATCAATAGCCTTTGGCCATTGAGTATAATCTGTTCATTGGCAGAGCGCGTCATCCTTTATAAAACAGTCACCGAACCGTCAGTGCTATCTCTGGTGCACGCATGAACTCTCGAATAAACTTGCCTGTTCACGCTGTGCGTGTAATCTTAACCAAACGATCTCAGAAAATCGCAGAGATTCCCAAACATTGTGGCGTGGTCTGCGGCAGTTTTTGTGGCTGAAACCCGAGTACAACAAAATAAAGTTCATAAACGCACATGGCAGTACTGAGCATGTTGCAGATATACATGCTGTATCATTGATGTTGTTGTTGCAAATAATGTACCATATGAGAAGTTTGTTAATACTGTCCAGTTACTCCATTAAGCGAAAGAAATAAAATGCCAAAGTATGTTTAAGCATTGGCAAATGCTACTGTTAGAATTGTAGCATCAATGGAGTACATAGGAGTGTAAGTTTGAAAAACACAGGTCAGAGGACGAAAGTAGGAGGGAGCAGAAAGTTCGGGCGCTACACTTTAGCTCTGCTATGTACCCCGTTCACTATGTAACCCATTGACGATAACCAACTCGCCCAACAACAAGTCTTACTTAGCATTATAACATACTAAGAGTTTGCTTCTCATTAATGCAAGCTGCCTCAGGAAAACAAGGTAGCTTTGTAGTGAATGACTAAAAACTTAGTCATCATTCTCAAACCTTAGTTGTATGTGCAGAACAAAAAAAAAACAAACAAAAAGGCACAGTAAGCAAGAGCTTTATATTCAGCAGGAAAACTTCATGTTTAATTATTTAGTTGATAGTTCAATGGAACACCGTCTGGTCAGGTAGAGGCATTGATGAAAAACAGGTCGCTGACCAATGTCAAAACAAAACACGAATGACGTTTCTGGATTTGTACAGGATCCCTTTTTCTCAATCTAGTGAACAAGGATCCAAAGGTGAACAAATGTGAACGAGGGATCGGTATGGGTCCCAAAAGGTCGTTCTTGTTTTGTTTGGACATTGGTCAGTAACCTGTTTTTCACCAATGTTCCAATGTTTTCACATTTTCAAAAGAAAGCATAAAAGAACGTACGTTTTCATTTTTGCTGGTTTATAGAGTGTTGTCGGATTGCAATCATGGTCTTCTAAATCACAGTGATTAATAGCATCATAATAAATTGAAGTTAAGTATAAAAGTTAATGTTTTTGAATATGGTACATTAGGTATTGCTGGTTCATGCCTATTCTTGATTGCCTGTATTGTCTGTACATTTGCCATGTCTTGTGCAACGTCCTTCTGACACAGGTCATGGTTCTAGCAAGTGGCACATTTAATTCTCAGGCATTGGAACAGCTTGCTCAATGCAGGCATTAAAATGCAGGTGTCAAGTTCCTCTATGACTGTGTCATTGAGTCATTGGAGATGCTGAAAAAGGACCCAGAAAAAGGATCTGGCTGCATTTTGGCTCACTGCATGGGACTGGGAAAATCATTCCAGGTGCCGTGGTTGTCTTTGTTGGAACTCATTATAAGACATTGGACTGTCATGCTATGTTGTTGTTTTTATGCTTACAGTCAGTCCACATTGTAATGAAGTTGCATGCCGTGGATTGTGCCTTTGTCATAATTGATATTTATTTTGCATGCACGCATTCCTTACCTGCATTCCTTACCTGCTGATAATGGTGATGGAAAAACTGTTTGGTTTAATTTGGTACCTCCTGTGCTTGTTTTGTTGTTAGGTGTTACTATATTTGAGCATTTAGCAATATGTTATATTTCGGTCCATTGCATTCACATGAATGTACTGGGGGAGAAAAAAGAGCTTGTTTGATGGAGCAACTACAGGAGGAGGCTGACAGTTATGGAACTTAATAATACGTGTAATTGCAGTTTGGTATAATGTTCTTGCATTGTTTTCATGATTGAGAGAAAGGAGGAGGCCAAAACATAAGTGTACTGCCCTGTTATCAGTAAAATTATTAATCTCTTCCAAGCTTCTTTCAAAACTGCTTGATTTTGTTTGGGAGCTTCTGTGCCAACTTCTTAAGGCAAATCTTTGACCAAAATGTGGATAGATAAATCAGTCCGTAAAAAGATCTATGAATGAAAAGCGTGTATGTGTAAAATGAGAAAGGCAGGGAGGTTTAACCTTTGCCGTTTGGAAAATGAAGAGAATTTTATGACCAACAACGAAGGATTTCAAGCAGATGGTTTTTTATACCTGAAGGGGATCGGTTCCATGTTTTGAGCATTTTTCATTATATTTACCTTGTTTTTCAGGTGATATCTTTCTTGCACACAATGATGACCCACAAAGAGGCTGGTCCATTGCTTAGCACTGCCCTTGTTATATGTCCCTACAACACTGTCTTCAATTGGGCTAATGAATTTGATGTGTGGCTACATAGAAATGGACTGGACATGAAGGTGTGTGTGTGGTTCTGCTTTTTATCAGAATGAATAGGCTTGTATAGCATATGCGTAGTAGACACCACAAAGTAGTCCATGATGCATGTCCCTTTTACATTTATTGTGGCTTGGTTACTTTGCCGAATCTTTGGCTCGCCCGAAGCATTCTTCAAAAGAGCATTCTCCCTGTGTGCTCTAATTTTGCTAAAAACAGGTAGTTGTAATGAAGGAAATGAAATAGACCATTAAAAATCCTCTTGCTTTATTAACTTTAGTTTTATATTTACTGTGGGGGCATCTATTAATGCTGGGTAGTAAATGGCACCCTGTGTGTGCAGTGTGTACAGAACAAGTGTACGTTTGTGCTGTTGGTATCAGTAGCTGTCGGAGTTTTAAGCTTAGTAAATGTGACGTTACATACAAGTTGCAAAGTAAAATGTATTAGAGTATGTGTGATGTCGTGATCTTTAATGAAAAGCAAAAGCTGTGCCATCAATCTGGAATTTTGTTCTAAATTGCATCTATTCAGTACTAGATTGGCCTCGCACAGAACTTACCTTTGAATAATCCAGTGTTGGTCGATATTGGTGCTGCCCCATTCTAGTAGATCGCACTCTGCCTAGTCTGTCATCAGTTTTCGAATATCTGGAGGGGCGGAGCTCAGACTGTAATTGCTTTTTTCTGTCCACAGGTGTATGAAGTGTCTTCCATGAAAGTAAATTTGCAGAGAGTGGAGGTGCTGGAGAGGTGGCACCGTGAAGGTGGTGTGGCCATCATTGGCTACAGCTTGTTCTGTCAGCTCATTAAAGGGAGCGGCAAACGAAAGAAAACGGCACTGCTCAGTCGATACAGAAAAATCCTCCTGAACCCAGGTAAGCGCCAGCATTGTTGAGAGGGGTCATGCTTGACTAGTGGTCAACTCGGTAAAATCTGTACCAGCAGTCACTCAACAGACAAGTTACAACTCGGAGCACGTGAATGATTGCACCACAATGTTGACCAGCATGGCAGCGAGAAAATGTTTACACATACAATGCCCGTAAATTATTCATATTGATTACATGTTTTCTTGTAGCAAATACACTCAAACATTTTAGCACAGTGGTGCTTCACTGTACCATGTTCATTATATATGATACAGTTGAACATCGACAAAAATAAATAAAATAAAATAAATAAAGTAATTAAATAAAAATAAATAAATAAAAGCGTGTTTGGTTAATCAGATCGAAAGATAAAAAAAAGACAGAAAGAATGTCAAACCTGAAAGGTGTTTACCAAATTTACTATGTGATGTGGCACCTACTATGGTCAGTTCTAGTTTTTTTTTTCAAATTTCTTGTCATTTGGGATTACTAGAATACCAGGTTACTAGAAGCGTAATTGTTAATTACAGGTATTGTAACAGCTCCAGGTGTTGCAAAGCCGAACTAGGCAAACATATAAATGCAGCAATAAAGAGTTTGCTACTTCACATTGGGCGTAAATTTCTGACAATCAAGAACAAGTTTTCCGCACAAGCACTCACTAAATAGAAAAAGATGTGTCTCTAATTGTGCTTAGGTGTTGCTATCAACATCCAGTAACCTGGCATCATACGGAAGGATTCCGCCGTATGTCAGTACTGCACATGCGAAAGCTCCTTAGTTATTGTTTGCAATGACCATATGGTAAATAAAATGCTGGAAGAGTCACAAGAGCAAAGCTGAACGTCGTCAGGGGCCATACCACGCAGGCACGCATGGTGTTGAAAACAAAGGGCGAACGACACGGATACCGTGGAAAACTATTCGGTAGTGCGCCCTTCATTTCAACACGGCCCCACATGTGACCCTAACAGTAAGCTTGGCACTGCCAATGTGCCAATGTAAAAAGGGCACATTTGCACATGTGTCCGTGACAGCAAGAACAACGGCAACGTTAGTTCGTGGGGCACAGACCCGCCGGCCCGCCTCATGCACACCCACTCACAATAAGAAGCGCTCGCTCTCGCCTGCCATCGCCAGGTCCACGAGAGCGCCGTTGTCGTTTCGCTCTTCGTCGGCGAAAGAAGCAGCCAAAATGACAAAATCTGGGGTGAAATTCCTAGATCGTCAGAGGCGAAAATTGGTTATATCAAGGTTGTCTCCTGCTGTTAGTTTGCGACATAAAGGTTGAAGATACATATACTTCTATGGAGTAACGGCGGGGAATAGAAAATCTTGGTCATATCGATGAATTCGTTATATGAAGGTCAGTTATAAGCAGGTTTAACTGTTTAACATTTGTACATATATCTGGCATCATTTTGTAACATTTTGCACAATAAAAAAATTACACCACAGTCACCTTCCCACCGCATGCGAAGCATACTCTTATGAGATAGCAAGGTGAAAGTGTTTATTTTGGCTAGGTTGATGAAGTGCTACGTGGGGTGGTGTTTCATAGTTGTCTTGTCAAGAATGAGGCAATGCAGAGGCTGAATTGAATTTGTACATGATTTGGTGCTACCAAGGTGTTGTCAACAGCATTACATGTGATAGGCAAAGATGCCATTTTCTCATTTTCCCATCCTCATTCAACTTGTGTGGAAGTCCAACTGGTGTGGCGGACAAGGGTGTGCTGCCTTCAAGTAGCAGTTCCAAATCTTCCTCGCATACATCCATATATAAGTGCATCTGAAAGTTTGGATGGTAAAAATTTTCGGCATCCGATTTTTCGGACTTGCTGTCATAATTTCACATCCAAAACAGCATTGATTGAGCCCCCACATCTGTCTCATCTATCATCTTCATGTTGAAACGAGTGTTTTCTTGAGTCGATAAACTCGCAACCATAGCAGAGCTTGAAAGACAGCTTCGCCGCAACATGAGAATGTAATGAAGTCAAGCATTTGAAAACTTGAAGGGACCACTCGTAATCAGATGTAGACTGTATTTGTCCTGTGGTCTTAAAAAAAGTTCGACTGCAAGGGAGCCTAAAAGACAGCTTCGCCGCATTAGGCAAATGTATTGAGGTGAAGCATTCTAAAAAAAATTTGAAGGAATCATTTTTGATTAGATGTTGGCCGTCTAAACGGTGTAAGATATAAACAATTTAGTGGGGGGAGGGGACACTCCTCAGCTTTCTTTAAGGATGCTATCGATCAGTCGGAACCTTGGTTGCCCCGTTTTCAACTGGTCGATTGCATCTTGGAGTTGTCCCCACCTAAAATGTTTGTACCTGACACCGTGGCCGTCTATAAAAAACTCGACCTCGACCGTAGCGGAGACTGAAAGGCAGCTTTGCCTTAATACGAGAATGTTACGAGGTGAAGCATATTAATTATTTGAAGGGGGCGCTTTTAATTAGACGTTGGTTGTATTTGCTTTCGGGAAGTTCGAATAGTAAAATTCCAATGTGAATCAAATTGAATAGCAAACAGTATTCAAATGATATTCAAAATTTCGAATGTTGATGCACTCCTATTGTAAGGTTAAAATGCTTCCTGCACCAAGCATCTTCAAATAGCTTTTCATATTTTCTTACGTCCTTTTTCTGGAAAACTTCACAGGGCCAAGCCTTGTAGTTTGTGACGAAGGACATGTGCTGAAGAATGCCAACACTGGCTTGTCCAAAGCCCTGAGTACCTTGAAGACTGGCCGAAGGATTGTGCTGACTGGTACCCCCTTGCAGAACAACCTGACAGAATGTAAGTTTTATAAATTTCCTCTTTAGTGACTCATCATAATATTTACCTATGGCAGTATAGAAGCGAACTCAGTGCTGTATTGGCGTACGATTCTGCTGTGGGGCTTTCAGTGCTAGTTGCATGGTCTCTACGCAATCATTGCAGCAAGCTTCTTTGCATTCATAGTCACTACTGTATCATTAACGGACTGTTATAACCCTAATCTAAGCTACAAGAAAAGTAACATTATATATAAAGTGAAACAAAGGATGATGTATGAAGAAAACACGGCTAAACGAGTCACAAGTGTCGTTTGTCAGCACGAGTGTGTTGCAACTCTCGAGAATCACTGCAAAAATAGAAAAGTAAAATACATAAATCAGGCAAGCTGTTAATTTTTCTGATTAGTGAAGCACTTTTGGTGACACCTGTATTTGCAGAACCTCGTCCTTGTGGAACTTCTCACTACATGATTCGGGCTAACTTTTCTCTGCAAAATAAATCCCATTGTTGCTGCTGTTTTCTTATTATTTTTTCTTTCTCTCTCACGCTACTTAATCCCGCTTACTTGTCGTTCACACCAAGAGGCACAGTGACGCTAGCCATCGCCAGTTTTGCAAGCTATAGAAAACGTTTACTACTCTGTGCACTTACTGTTCAGACATTTACTATTGCCGCTAAGGCGTGAGCCTATCGTGCAGTCGTGCGGACTTCAAGACAATGAGTGGCCCAAAGTTCACACATATAAAAGAAAACAAGTCATTGGTAGTTTGCATGGGAGTGCAACTAGATCTGCTGCGTACTTTATGGTCTAGCCTTGGCTCTCTCTGAACTGTCAGTGCTAAGAGAAGTCTTCATTTTACTTTTTATCAAGTTAAAGAGCCACAATACATGTCATTCTTTATTTTCGGGGCATTTGCCTTGATGTGGTGTTATTTGATGATTGCATCGAATGCAATGCAGCAGAAAAATTGCTTTTTTGGACTGATAAAAGCTTAACAGATTGCAGTGCTCTGTGTGCTTTCATCGGTGTCCAAGGAGAATGTAAACACATGATGCCAAGCGGTTTCCAGCGATGCCACCAGGTGTCGATGCTGCCTGTGAATCTCGCAGTACTTTGCCAATGATGGACTTACAGCCTGCAGATAATGTTTACATCGTTACTTAAGCCACGTATCGTGCAGTACTTAGGGCAAGAACTTAGGTTTGCAAGTACTGATTATTAGCTAGATAATTTTGCTACAGTGTTTGGTGATCTTAAGATTATTTATTGTCCTCATCTGGAAATAATTTTTGTTCTGCAAGGATTTCTATTGTTCAGCAAACATGGTGTAAACAAAGCATGGAGTTTACTTCATAAAGGTGCTGTCATATTTGTAGCAGGGTGACTGTTTGTCATACATGAAGTTTTTATTTGTGAAACACTGAACCTCGGAAAAAAAAAAGGAGGGGTGCTGCAGATAGGTGCTATGCTAACAACTGTTTGCAAATACCATCAGATGCGTATAGCACTCATCAACTTGCCCGAGATGTTTTTCTGAAATATTGAACCTTTTTTTTGTTGTCAATGGTAAAATTCTTATGAACTTAATTAGCCTTAGCGCTTATAAGTACTCAATTGTCTTTTTGTATTGTATGTCGCACTACTTTCACTAGTAGAGCTTTCTTTTTATAACATTAATTCCAACCATGCGACGCCAACAAACAAGCCTTCATACAAGGATACTTAATTTCTGCAGTGCCCCGCAGGGGCGCCTGCGCAAGTAGGCGTTTGGTGTGTAGCGACACCACGGACCCGAGCTAACGGGGGAGTTTCTACTCCCTCCCACGCCTAGCCGTGCGTGGCTTTGCCGTGTCCGGGGAAAAGGGGATCCTGGGGGTTGAGCCGACGCTGGGTGATTAGACCGTTAAGGCCCCCCGGCAGAGGCAACACACCCCTTTGGCCCTGGCTTCACGTAGACGGCACCCCTGGGCTGACCCACACAGGGGAAATCGGCAGTCGCCTTTTCCTGTCTCTCTCTTCCTACATCTTAGTCTTTTCTCGTCTTTAAATCTGTCCTGTCTTCTTCTCCCTTCCATTTACTTCCGATTTTTCCTGGCGGCAAGGGTTAACCCTGTGTGGCTATCCTACCTTGGATACACCATATTCGGTTATAGTGGTGGTGTACAGCTGGCGTCTGCAGGTCCTGTGCTTACAGACCCTGCAGCGTCCCCTTGTAGGACTCCATGGTGGGTGGCTGGCGCTGCTGCCGAAAATAAACCTTTTCTTATGGCTTGTTCCTTCCCCCCACTTCCTGATCGCCCTCAGAAAAAAGGGCGCACCGATGAAGTATTCCAGTTTTTTGGTCACCAGAGAGTATCCTTTCCCCGATTCCACGTTATCCACGCTGACACACCCGGCAAACCAGTGAGAACTATTTCACCTTTTCTTGTTTCGAAGTCTTTGACAGAAATCTTTGGCCCAGGATATAAAGCATAGAGAATGGCAAGTGGTGACCTCCTGTTGGAGCTCCGCGACCAGAAACAGTATGAAAAATTGTCTAATCTAGTGAAATTTGGAGATACCAAATTAATAGTAACCCCACACCGAACCATGAACACCACCCGTGGCGTTGTTTCAGATGACGACCTGTTAGGGCTGACGGAGGCTGAACTCCTGGAGGGTTTTAGCGAACAGAATGTCATCAACGTGAAACGAATTAGGATGAGGCGCGATGGCAAAGAAATCCAGACTAAGCACTTAATACTTACTTTCAATTCAAGTGTACTGCCCGACTCCGTTGAGGCAGGGTACATCAAGCTTCGAGTGAGGCCATATATACCGAACCCTCTCAGATGTTTTAAATGCCAGCGGTTCGGCCACAGTTCTCAGAACTGCCGAGGCCGCCTAACTTGTGCGAAATGCAGTGCTGATGAACACACATCTGATGCTTGTGAAAACTCTCCTCACTGTGTGAACTGTAACGGGGAGCATGCCGCATACTCACGGTCATGCCCCAGCTGGAAAAAAGGAAAGGAAATTGTCACGATTAAAGTAAAACAAAACATTTCATTTAGGGAGGCACGAAGGCAGGTGTCCTACCTGCCAGAAACCAGCTTTGCCGAAGTGGCGCGTCAGGGGGCAGCGCCACGACGGCCCCCGGCACCTGTCTGGCACACGTGTAGTGAGCCAGCGGTGACGCCATCCGCCCCCACGGCAGTTGCAGCCAGTGCTGCTCCGCCATCGAAGAAGGACCCACCAAACTCCGGGCTGGGGGCCGCGAAGGCCTTGTCTTTAGAGGCGAGGCCCTCAAAACAACCGCAGCGCTCGCAAGAGCGCTTGTCCAGTGCCTCGCTAGAGGCAATGGACACAACTTCGAGCGTGAGGGCGCAGCAAGTGCCTAAGGATCGGCGCGACTTTGTCGACCGATCCAAAAAAGAAAAATCTCGTGTCACGGCCCCTAAAAAGGGTCCGTGAGCTAATTTTCTATCCTTGAGCACACAGCACAAAACACATCTAAAATGGACACGCAGATTTTACAGTGGAATGTGATAGGACTTCTCCATAACCTCGATGATATTAGAGAACTCCTTAATAAACATACTCCAAAGGTGCTGTGTGTTCAGGAAACACATCTTAAGTCCACACAAACAAATTTTCTAAAGCAATATGCTATCTTCCACAAAGACCGTGACGACGCTGCCGCCTCGTCGGGCGGTGTCGCTATAATAGTTGATAAAGGTGTTGCCTGTAAGCAATTAAACCTCCGAACTTCTCTTGAGGCAGTTGCTGTCCGAGCAGTGCTGTTCGGGAAGCTACTAACAATTACTTCTATTTACATTCCTCCGTGCTATCAACTTTCAAAGACAGAATTTCAAAGCTTCATTGATGAACTTCCTCCGCCATATATAGTCGTTGGTGATCTAAATGCACATAATCCTTTATGGGGCGACTCCCGTTTGGATGCACGAGGACGCCTAATAGAACACTTTCTGTTTTCGTCAGGTGCATGTTTACTTAACAAAAAAGAATCAACATATTATAGCACTACGCACAACACATACTCTTCTATAGACCTGAGTATTGTCTCGAGTACACTAATTCCTTATCTGGAGTGGTCTGTTCTCAAGAACCCCTTTGGGAGTGACCACTTCCCGATAATGTTAAAGTTAACAAAAGAAGATACATGCTCGCCTGACTTTCCTCGCTGGAACACCAAGTCAGCTAACTGGGAACTGTTTCGAGAAATTACATTTTTAGACGGAGATGAGATTGCTGATTTTAATATAGACGATGCTGTAGCATTCCTAACAGGTTTTATTATTGACGCTGCAGTGAAATGTATCAAGCAAACCAACGGAATGACCAATAAACGTCGCATTCCATGGTGGAACGACGATTGTCGGAAAGCGCGCAATAGACAAAATAAAGCTTGGAGACTACTCCGAAATTACCCAACAGCTGAAAACCTCAACAATTTCAAACAGGTTAAGTCCCAAGCCAGAAGAATGCGTCGTCTTGCAAAGAAAGAAAGTTGGAATAGGTACATCTCCGGTATAAATTCTTACTCCGACAAAACGAAGGTTTGGAATAGGGTAAACAAGTTAATGGGTCGGGGGACACACCCCCTACCTTTGGTAAATAGCCGAGGGGAGAGCCTGGAGGAGCAGGCGGACTGCCTAGGCGAACACTTTGAATACGTCTCAAGTGCATCAAACTATACAGAAACGTTCTTAAAATTCAAAGAACGCGAAGAGCGACAGCCCCTTAAATGTAAACGTCCATCCAGTGAGTCTTACAACTGCCCATTTACATTAGCTGCGTGCTGCAACAACTCAGCGCCAGGTGTTGATCGTATAACATACGAAATGGTCAAGTACCTTCACCCCGAAGCACTAAAAACACTCCTAACTCTCTTCAATAACATGTGGGCAGCTGGGTATATTCCATTGTCATGGAAAGAAGCTATAGTCATCCCAGTACTTAAACAAGGCAAAGATCCGTCTTTGGCCGCCAGCTACAGGCCAATAGCGCTAACAAG